TTCCCCCTATATCCATGACACTGTAACTGTAAAGCTGGTTTTCTAATCCTTTAATCGTTCTCATGGCTCTTCTCTCAACACTCTCCTATTTATCAGCATCCTTCTGGAATTGTGGGTGCCAGACCTGGACTTAGTATTCCAGCAGCAATTGCCAGAGCCAAATAAAGAGGTAAAATAACCTCTCTACTCCTACCTGAGATTCCCCTGTGTATGTATCCCAGGATTGCATTAGCTTTTTTGGCCACAGATTAGCACTGGGAGCTCATGTTGAGCTGATTTTTCACCACAACTCCCAGATGTCGTTCAGAGTCATTGCTTCCCAGGATAGAGTCCCCCATCAAGTAAGTTTGACCTACATTCTTTGTTTAGATGTATACATTATATTTCACCATATTAAAACACAAATTGTTTGGTTGCACCCAGTTTACCAAGCGATCCACATTGCTCTGAGTCAGTGAGCTCTTCTCTTCATTATTTACCACTCTCACAATTTTTCTAATCAGATTTTTTAGTGATGATTTTGTTTTCTTCCAGGTCCTTGTTAAAAATGTTTAATAATATAGGGCCAAAAGCCAATCCCCTGCAGGATCCACACTGGAAACAATCCTACTTGATGATGATTCCTCATTTACAGTTACATTTTGAGACCTATTAGTTAGCCTGTTTTTAATCCATTTAATGTGTGCCATGTTAATTTTACATCATTCTAGTTTGTGAATCAAGATGGTGCATGGTACAAGTCAAACCTGTTAAAGAAGTGTATTATGACAACACTATTAACTTTATCAACCAAGCTTGTAATCTCATTTAAAAAAAGATATTAAGTAAGTTTGGCAGGTTCTAGTTTTTTTAAACCCATAATGATTTACATTAATCACATTACTCTCCTTTAATTCTTCATTAATCGTGTCCCGTATCAGCCGCTCCGTTATCTTGCCAAAGATCAATGTTAAGCTGACTGTCCGGTAATTACCTGGATCATCCCATTTACTCTTTTTAAAAATGGGTACAACACTGGCTTTCTTCCAGTCTTCTGGAACAACTGTGGTGCTGCAAGACTTATTGAAAATTAGCGTTAATGGTCCAGTGAGCTGCTCAACTATCACTTTTAAAACTCTTGGATGTAAGTTATTTGGACCTGCTGATTTTAAAAAGTCTAACTTTAGTAGGTTCTGTTTAACGTTCTCCAGATATGCTGGTGGAATGGAAAGTATGTTATAACTATATGATGAAACTGTGTCATCTGTGTTTCCCCAAATGCAGAACAAATTTGTACTGAACACTTCTGCGTTTTCTGATTATTATTGATAATTCTACCATTCCCATCTAGTAATGGACTAATGTCATTGTCAGATTCTTTTTGTTCCTAATATATTTTAAAAACTCCTTATTGTCCCTAAGTCTACTGGTAATAAATTTCTTCTTGTGTCCCTTGACTTCCCTTATCAATTTTCTGCAATTCCTAACTTCTGATTTATATTCATTACTATCAACTCCCCCTTTCTTCCATTTGATATATATTATTTTTTTATTTAGATCCTTGGGGCAAAATTTTCAAAAGCATCTACATGACAAGTCCCATGTTCAAAAAACCTCTAAATCATGTAGGCACTTTGGAAAATGTAACCATAATCGTTGTCTTGAGTACTTACTCAAGGTCAAATCCCCATTCCATTTAAATCAATGGGAGATTTCACTGAAACAAGGATTTGGTCCTAAAACATTCACAATTAAAATATCAAACTTTTTCTATATATTAGATTAAAAGGTTTCTAAAGTGGTTTTTAATATTTCAGCACTTGAATAGCAGTGACCCCCTGTGGTATAAATTCAAAAATGGATTGCAACAAAATTTCTCATAAAAGAAATAGAATTATACCTTACAATCTGAAGTTAATCGATGTTCTGAAGCATGTGCAGTATACTAATTCTTGCTATGCTTAGTAAGCATCACTATGATGATTCAAACTATAGGCTGTCGGACTATATTTTCCTTTATTACTTCAAGAAAAATCTTAAATATGACTTTTGACCAAGCTGAAATTTTGCTGTGGACTAGTACATTTGAATTGTTCTCTTGTTGGATGTCAACAGAATTAACTGGTAAATTACTTTCTGAGGCTAGGTTGCACATCTGACTAGGCTATATCACTGAACACAAATAACTCAATACGAATCACTATTGTACATCATATAATCTTTAAGTTTATAGAGGAGTTAAACATTAGGTATAACTGCACATAGAAAAGTTGGAATTTTTCCCTACCAGCATAATTTTACTATATGGGGAAAAATCAATTTTGAATACTATTATATTGAATAATATTACATATTTCAAATTCAATGAAGAATAACTTTTTACAGTTGGTGCTCTATTTTTTGCTCCCTAGATTTTTTTTTTTTAATTACTGTACAATTTTTTTTTTTTTAAAGAATACCTTGGTTGTGGTGAAATTTGGAAAAACTTTCAGTATTTACAAGAGCTATTGTGTGTGTATGTGTGTGGGTATTTTAAAAGGTACTATCTTTCGTGGTTTCAGGGAAAGTGCCTGTGTATCCCCATCTGTGGTCCATTTCATGAGTGCCCAGTCAAGTCTCCTGTTACCTATCTCTGGGCAGGGACCTTTGTCCCATTCCTTTCTGACTGTGAAGTTTTAAGCTGCACAGCTCCCTGCCTTACACTGCAATATCCCTAGCAAGGCAGTCAGCCTAAAGGCCAGCACTTGTGTGTTGTTTTCTCTCTCAGGGCTATGAACGGGGTATTGCCAGCTGTCACAAGCTACCACACCACTCTTTCTAAGCAAGCCCATTTATTCTTAAGGAGAAAGCATAAAAAACCCAATAAATATGTTTAGTGTGTGATTAAATCTACCAGTAGTCGCCCATCAGCATTTTGGGGACTGCATCAGCCAAAGTCTTTCTAATCTTACTACAAGGATTAGGGCCCCTACAGGACAGTAGGTCCTATCTGTGGGACTCTGGAAAACCCAGTTGTAACCAGTATGTGGAAGCCTCCCAATGGGTGGTACCTCTCTGGAGGTGTTTATAAACTGTGTGATTCACCTTTAACCCCCCCTCCCTCCCACACACACACACTGTTCTTAGTTAAGAAAATAAGAACGGCCATACTGGGTCAGAGCAAAGGTCCATCTAGCCAAGTATCCTGTCTTCCAATAGTGGCCAATGCCAGGTGCTCTAGAGGGAATGAACAGAACAGGTAATCACGAAGTGTTGAATCCCCTGTCGTCCATTCCCAGCTTCTGGCAAACAGAGGGTAGGGACACCATTCCTGCCCATCCTGGCTAATAGCTGTTGACGGACCTATCCTCCAGGAACTTGTATAGTTCTTTTTTGAACCCAGTTATAGTCTTGGCCTTCAGAACATCTCCTGGCAAAGAGTTCCACAGGTTGATTTCCTTTTCTTTGTTTTAGACCTGCTGCCTATTAATTTCATTTGGTGGCCCCTAGTTCTTGTGTTTATGAGAAGGAGTAAATAACACTTCTTTACTTACTTTCTCCACACCAGTCATGATTTTATAGACCTCTATCATATCACACCTTAGTTATCTCTTTTCCAAGCTCAAAAGTCCCAGTCTTATTAATCTCTCCTCATATGGCAGCCGTTCCATACCCCTAATCATTTATGTTACCCTTTTCTGAACTTTTCCAAGTCCAATATATCTTCTTTGAGATGTGGTGACCACATCTGCACGCAGTATTCAAGATGTGGGCATACCATGGATTTATATAGAAGCAAGATGATATTTTCTGTTTTATTATCTATCCCTTTCCTAATAATTCCTAACATTCTGTTCACTTTTTTGACTGCCGCTGCACATTGAGTGGATGTTTTCAGAGAACTATCCACAATGACTCCACGATCTCTTTCTTGAATGGTAACAGCTACTTTAGACCCCATCATTTTATATTATAGGTGGGATTATGTTTTCCAATGTGCATTAATTTGCATTTATCAACATTGAATTTCATGTGCCATTTTATGGTGACAAGTATCAGAGGGTAGCTGTTTTAGTCTGTATCCACAAAAACAACAAGGAGTCCGGTGGCACCTTAAAGACTAACAGATTTATTTGAGCATAAGCTTTCATGGGCATCTGAAGAAGTGGATTTTTACCCATGAAAGCTTATGCTCAAATAAATCTGTTAGTCTTTAAGATGCCACTGGACTCCTTGTTGTTTATGTGCCATTTTGTTGCCCAGTTACCCAGTTTTGAGAGATCCTATTGTAGCTCTTCGCAGTCTGCCTGGGACTTAACTATCTTGAGTAGTTTTGTATCATCTGCAAATTTTGCCACCTCACTGTTTACCCCTTTTTCCAGATCATTTATGAATATGTTAAATAGGACTGGGGCCAGTACAGACCCCTGGGGGACACCACTATTTACCTTTCTCAATTCTGAAAACTGACCATTTATTCCTACCCTTTGTTTCCTAACTTTTAACCAGTTACCAGTCCATGAGAAAACCTTCCCTCTTATCCTATGACTGCTTACTTTGCTTAAGAGGCTTTGGTGAGGACCTTGTCAAAGGCTTTCTGAAAATCTAAATACACTATATCCACTGGATCCCCCTTGTTCACATGCTTGGACATGCTCTGGTCCTGACAGAGCTGTAGCAACCCTTTCCCCCTGGAGCTGAATTCAGTCCCTGGCCCACAGTGATATATATAAACCATTCATATGCTTAATACAATGTGGTCCTCAAAGATATTCCACATGGTTGCAATATCTGTCACACCATCCATATATAATTTAAACATACATTTCTACTTTGCTCCCAGTACAGACAATGTATCTCTGTGTTTTTTTGTTCTAAAAGCTTTTTGAGTGATCTGTTTCTTTTATGTGTTATGTAATTACTCAATTCTCTTTGGCCAGAGTGGAAAAGTATGTAGTCCAGTGTGTTAGTGTTGTATCAATGGCATTGAAGACTTTGACTCAAAAACAGAGTTCACTTTATCTAAATTTTCTTTTGTGTAGGATGCCTATGTCTTTGTTAAAAATGGGATAATGGATTCCATACAGTTTGGAAAAGGTAGGTGAGTCATATAGTCAAAATTTAAAACTAGTCTCTTCTTGCTCATTGTTTGGCTATGAAAGTTACAAAGCTGGTTTATACTGGAGAACAGCAAATTCTATCAAAAATATTGATATTGTACTAGAGCAAACACAAGAATCAATAAAACAGAAGGGGCACACATGCCTTCCCTAGAAGCTGGCTTCATGCTATTTACCATAGTCTCTTGTTTGAAAATGAAAAGGAAGTTCCGAATGTCATTTTGTAATTATGACTCAACCAACTTAGCTTGTCTGTAATTCCTTTGATTTTAATATTAGATGACATTTTGAGGCCAAATGCTACCCAATCCCTCAGTAGGTTCAGAAGCTTCTAAATATCATAGAACTTTCATGATTCTACTGCAGGGTTGGATAAAAGGGGAATGGAGCAAGAAGCTGATGATACAGTGTGTCTCTACGTCCCGAGTGTCTCTATATCCCCAGTGTGCTACATGCTGAAGAACTTTTCTTCTTAGTGCTTTCTCTTAGCAGCACAGAGCATGGTTTGGGGAGTGGCATCACATGTGTAAACCTCCACATAGGTGGTGTATAAGTAGTCCAATTCTTATTACAATCCATAGCTGTGATAGCAGCAGTAGGGTTGCCAACTTCCTAATTGCACAAAACTGAACACCCTTGCCCACTACTTCCCTGAGGTCCCGTCCCCCACTCACTACATTCCCCCTCCCTCAGAGGCTCGCTCTCCCCCACCCTCACTCACTTTCACTGGGCTGGGACAGAGGGTTGGGGTGTGGGAGGGAGTGAAGACTCTAACTGAGGGTGCGGGCTCTCGAGTAGGCCCAGGAATGAGGGGTTCAGGGTGCGGGAGGGGGGTCCAGGGTGGGGTAGGGAGTTGGAGTGTGGGATGGGGTGAGCACTCCGGCTGGGGGTGCAGGCTATGGAGTGGGGCTGGAGATGAGCGGTCTGTGGTGCGGAGGGGGGTGGCGGGCCTCCAAGCTGGGGCGTGGGGCCAAGGGATTTGCAATAGGAGAGGGGGCTGCGGGTTGAAGCAGGGGGTTGGGGTGTAAGAGGGGGTACGGACGGTGGGTGTGGGCTCTGGACTGGGGCCGGGGATGAGGGGTTTGGGGTGCAGGAGAGGGCTCCAGGGTTGGGGCTCAGGGTTGGGGTGCGGGCTTACCTTGGGTGGCTCCCAGTCAGTGGTTCAGTGGGGCTAAGGCAGGCTCCCTGTCTGTCCTGGCTCTACGTGGTGCCCCAGAAGCAGCCAGCAGGTCTGGCTCCTTGGCGGGCAGGCCAGGAGGCTCCCCGCACTGCTCTCGCCCGCAGACACTGCCCCACCAGCTCCTATTGGCCACAATTCCCAGCCAATGGGATTGCAGAGCTGGTGCTCGGGGCAAGGGCAGCGCGTGGAGCCCCGTGGCCGCCCTGCCTAGGAGCTGGACCTGCTGGCCACTTCCGGGGTGCAGTGCGGTGCCAGGACAGGTACAGACTAGCCTGCCTTAGCCCTGCAGCACTGCCGACTGGACTTTTTAATGGCCCAGTCGGTGGTGCTGACTAGAGCTACCAGGGTCCCTTTTCGACCACATGTTCCAGTCAAAAACCGGACACCTGGCAACCGTAAGCAGCAGGGAGGAGGCTACACAGTTGCTGTACACCAAACTGCTGTATAAGTGAGAAGAATTCCTTTCCCTTGCTTCCTTATTTTAGTTCTCATTTACACTTCACAGTTTGGTCCTAATTCTGGCATTGAAGATTAAAAAATACTCTTTGTATTAAAGATGCATTTCTGAAATTACCCGTGGAAAATAAGTTTCATTAAAAAGAAACAAAAGATGGTCCAGTGGTTAGGGCACTATTAGCATACGCGCCAACTTGTGCTGGCGCCGGTGGGTGCTTGACCTTCCCCCGCCCCCGTTCCAACCCCTTCCCCAGCGTCCACGCCCCAACTCCGCTTACTCCCTGCCCATATTCCAACCCCTTCCCCAAATCCCCGCCCAGGCCCTGAATCATAGAATCATAGAATATCAGGGTTGGAAGGGACCCCAGAAGGTCATCTAGTCCAACCCCCTGCTCGAAGCAGGACCAATTCCCAGTTAAATCATCCCAGCCAGGGCTTTGTCAAGCCTGACCTTAAAAACCTCTAAGGAAGGAGATTCTACCACCTCCCTAGGTAACGCATTCCAGTGTTTCACCACCCTCTTAGTGAAAAAGTTTTTCCTAATATCCAATCTAAACCTCCCCCACTGCAACTTGAGACCATTACTCCTCGTTCTGTCATCTGCTACCATTGAGAACAGTCTAGAGCCATCCTCTTTGGAACCCCCTTTCAGGTAGTTGAAAGCAGCTATCAAATCCCCCCTCATTCTTCTCTTCTGCAGGCTAAACAATCCCAGCTCCCTCAGCCTCTCCTCATAAGTCATGTGTTCCAGACCCCTAATCATTTTTGTTGCCCTTCGCTGGACTCTCTCCAATTTATCCACATCCTTCTTGTAGTGTGGGGCCCAAAACTGGACACAGTACTCCAGATGAGGCCTCACCAATGTCGAATAGAGGGGAACGATCACGTCCCTCGATCTGCTCGCTATGCCCCTATTTATACATCCCAAAATGCCATTGGCCTTCTTGGCAACAAGGGCACACTGCTGACTCATATCCAGCTTCTCGTCCACTGTCACCCCTAGGTCCTTTTCCGCAGAACTGCTGCCTAGCCATTCGGTCCCTAGTCTGTAGCTGTGCATTGGGTTCTTCCGTCCTAAGTGCAGGACCCTGCACTTATTGAACCTCATCAGATTTCTTTTGGCCCAATCCTCCAATTTGTCTAGGTCCTTCTGTATCCTATCCCTCCCCTCCAGCGTATCTACCACTCCTCCCTGTCTCTTTCCCGCCTCCTCCCCTGAGCGTGCCACATTGCCACTCCTTCCCCCTCCCTCCCAGAGCTTGTTATGTTGTGGAACAGCTGTTTGCGGCGGCAAGCGCTCGGAGGAGAAGCAGGGACGTGGCACGCTCAGGGTAGGAGGCAGAGGCTGAGGTGAGCTGGGGCGGGGAGCTTGGCTGCCAGTGGGTTCAGAGCACCCACCAATTTTTCCCCGTGGGTGCTCTGGCCCCAGAGCACCCACGGAGTCGGCACCTATGGGCACTAGCTTAGGATTTGGACGAGCACAGTTCAGTTCCCTGCTCCACTGGAGACCTCCTGTGTGACCTTGGGCAAGTCTCTCTGGGCTTCAGTTCTGTAAAAATGGGGATAATGAAACTTCCCTATGTCAAAGGGGCATTGCAAGAATCCATACGTTAAAGACTGTGAAAGACTTTGAGATCTACTGATGAAAAGCGCTATGTACAAGTAGTAGTATTATTTAAAAAATCAAGAAACACCAGCATAGTGGCATCTCCTTTCTCCAATTTTTAAATACATTTTTAACATGCATTGAAAACTAAAAACTTTGTCACTTGCATTAGAAACAAGTGCTAACATTTTAGTAAATACAAAAAGGTATCTAAAGAGCATGACTGTGAACTTTGTAAAATGTATATTTTATGAATGACACATCGGTATCCTGATACTGCAGTGCTGACTCCCATGTGTGCACCTGCAAAATAAGTCAGTGGAGCTTGACACGGATGCACGTATCCGCAGTAGCAGATCCAGTTGTGAGATGGAGCTACCTCAGCATTCAGATTTTCATAGACATGACTTTACTGCTCTCTCTTAAAATGGGGGGGGGGGAGAGAACAAATTGACTAATCTTCAATTGTTATATCATAGCTGTTTTGATTCATTTTTTTTAAAGATACGTACGTTTATCTGAAGAATCCACCTCCAGAATTTCTTCCAAAAGTTGCTGTAATTACAATTTCAGGTTTAACTGGTTTAGTTCTGGCAAGAAAAGGTATGTTTTTTTGTTTTTTGTTTTTTCAAACACTGTCAGATTGGTAATTGTATGACACGTCTTTAATTTAACAATACTTTATTTTGTGCTTTCTGAAATTTTCACTTAAGTTTTGGTAAAAAACCTTTTGAACACTTGTGAACAATTACGTAGTTTTAAAAACAAACAAGCCAAGGTTTCAGATCATTATATTATGTAGAGGGGATACCAACAGACCTTTTTTTTTCATTTCTTTTTTCAGCTTTGTTTAATTTATTCATTTAAAATAACAATTTTATATTTAATTCTATCATTTAAGAATTATTTTATTGGAAATATAGGATCCTATGGTGCCATCAGAAATGCCTTAATTTTCTTTGGTAATTTATTATTTGATAATTAATTTAAATCAGCACACAATGTAAATGATGATATTCACAGTTTCTACAGTCAGGGGAAAGGTATGCAAATCTAGAGCCACATGAAAAAGATTCAATACTCTCTGCATCACATAGTACCTCTCCCATTCCTTAAAAGGATCAGTATAAGTTGTAGGTGTCTTCCTGGAGGAAGGAGCACTTCAAACTTCTCAGTGAACCTCCTGGCCAATAGAGAAGTATTTCTAGTGAACACTGAAGAGTCTCTCTCAGTGCTCCTGAACCGGAGTGATGGTAGTTGTGATATGGAATGTTGAAATGGAGCTGTATAAGACAGTGAGGAATTGGGTGCTCTGACACAGGAACAGAGATGTGCTTGAGAAAAGTGATGTATTCAACAATCATTGGATTTAATTTTCATAAAATTATGAAATATATATTCAAAATCACCAGACTTAATTTTTGTAAAATTATGAAATAATATTGTAGGCTTTGTATTTCATTATAGTACTGTAGAATTTACAAATCTTTCCTTCTGAAATTTTCATAAGAATAATGTCAGGGAAAATAATGATTTAAATTGTAGAAATTTACAGCAATGTGATTTTTAGGTAAAGCCACCAACAAATTAAAAGAGAATACTGGGCATAACTGGAACATCACATTTGCAAATGATCTTTATTTCCTTGGATTTTTAAATAGCCCCAAATCTAAATCAGTCCCCACAGTTTGGATTATACAATGGTAGTATAATAAAAAAGAGGGATTTAAATGCATTAAGCACCACAAAATGAATTGGGGAAAGGACAGCCTAGACCTAAGGGCGGGATTTCAGAGGGGAATCAGATATGTAGAGGTTAAAAGCAAAAACCGGTGAACCAAAATGCTTGGCAATGGAAGATGACCTTGGGAAAAAAAGGCATTTTTAAAACATAATAGAATGACAGGTAATGGGTAATAAAAATGAGCCACTGTGAGTGTTTGAAGGGTCAAAAGAAAAAGTGCTAGAACAAACTGATAAATCAGACCGTGTTCCATGTGAAACAGCTGGCAGGATCGAGTCCTTAAAGGACAACAAATCACTGGGGTGGATAGTGTAGATCCAAGGGTGAACTGAAATTGTTAAATATGCAGCCTCATTAATGTAATGTACTATGCACTGAAGGGTAGCAAGTACTTACTTTTAAAACACGTGTTGGGGTGTGTTACTGACAAATTATTTTTACTTCAGTACCAGGTAAAATACTTGAAACAGTACTTACATAGAGTTATATGACATCTACAAGTAGGTGAATATGATACAGACAAAACAGTACAGTTCATTCAAGAAAATGTTGTCCTTCTGTTGTCTGCTAGATTTTAAGTGTGTCAACAAAATAGTGGGTAAAAGAGAACTAACAGATATAATTTATTTGGGCTTTCAAAAACTCTTTGTCAAAGAAACTTAAAGTAAACTTAAGTAGTCCTGGTATGAAAGAACTGTCATGGATTAGAAATTGGCTAAGAGACTGTAAACAAAGAGTAGGAATTAGTGATCAGTGTTAACAATAGATTGCCTCAAAGATATGGAATAGGACAAATGTGTAATACATTCATTAGTGACCTGGAAAAGGTGGGGGGAACAGTGATGGTGGTAAAAATTAACAGATAACACAAAATTATGTAGGATCGTGAGGAGCATAGAAGGGTATGAGTATTCACAGAAACCTGAGAGAGCCTGGCAGTTGGGTAGCATGATAGCAGAGGAAACTCTTTAATAAATGCAAGATAATACACATTGGAATTTGAACTAGTTATATAGAAGATTTTAATAATATTTCATAATTGAAGATATATCCTCATTTTTTTTAATTCAGTAAATTTTACTGAAACATCACTTGACCCATTGGAATACAGACACAACTCTACGCCAATCAGACCTGCAATAGATTTTGATCTAGGTAGTTGCCAAGAGTCGGAGGTTAAAATTATATAGCTATCCAGTACTATGTTCCATTTGTATCTAGTACCTGTTTAAATTATTTGTGTGGTTTACACAGGTTCTAGAGTTAAGAAAACTGCTTACCCGCTGGGGCTTGCCACTTTAGCAGTATCCGTTTGTTACCCAGCTCAGTCAGTAGTACTTGCTAAGGTAAGTTTTGTTTTGTTCTTTCATAGGGTGAAAATATCAACATTTTAATATTTAAACTAAGTGAGACTGAAATATTCAACACATCTGCAGTATTTAATTTCCAGGGTTATGGAGTTGGCATCAGTTTATACGCTATGTGTGTGTGATGCATCACAGTTGTTAATTACATGTCCATCAGAAACGAATAATATGGCTGAATTTACTTGACCTATACAATATTACTTTCCATATTTAATTCTTAGTTGGAGAAAGGAGAGTTTCATTTTTAGATACAATACAATAACATTTTTAATTAACAGAAAATTGCATTTTTTTAACATCTACTCATTTCAGTGCATTAAAATAATACTGTACAAGAAACTGCCCAATGGATACACAGGTGACATTTCTGAAGCTCTTTCTTTTAATGTACATCCAGTACTGGATCCATGTGAAACAGGGAATCCCCCTCTTTTCTTGTGACTCTGATCTTAAAGTTAGCTTGTTTGCTAGCTACTTAAAATACTGATTTTTATAGGCTTAACTACGCTGCCCCGCAGTTCAGCTACAAGGGTGTGAATAGCAGTGTGCACCAAAGTGCTGCGCTGTGATTCCCCTGCATGGATGCTGTAGGCGTGAACTAAAATGTTCCTAGTTTGCATAAATGTCCCCTTTAGACAAGACTATGTTAAAGCGAACGAGGAACCTTTTAGTTTGTGCACTCAGTGACCACATGGGGGAGTTTCAGCACAGCACTTTGGTGCACACTGCTGTTTACACTCTTTTATAGTCCGAACGGCAGGATAGTGTATACATAGCCATAGTACCAAAACTTTGTGCATAGCTCTCTGTGAATGAGGAAATAGAATCCTCCCTGGCTGCAGCTTATCTACAGAGCCACTCCACAGATGTTGCTGCAACCTCACAGAGTTTGAATAATTACGGGCTGAATAAGAATTTATAAATTCAGACCTTTGTGAAGCAAAACAGCAATGTTCGCTACTTTCAGTCAGGTCCTTTTATTTCTTGGTTGTATCTTTCCTCACCATGGGATTTGTTTTAACGGGGCATAAATTTAGCTATGGTTGTCTTTGCATGAATGAAAAAAATCTAGCTAAATGAGTCACGTTTTTGTTTCAAGTTTGTAGCATATGATATGTCTGACTTTTCTTGCTTTTCCAGCTTCTAGTGCATTCATTTATTCAAACCACTATTCCCTTGTTAAGTTTTAAATCCATTTTGTGTAAATGGATACACTGCAGCAGATTTACAATTTAAACATGATTTATAATATAAGATTGGGAGTGGGGGGAGATCTGAGATGCATCAAATTTGTGAAATGCAGATTTTCTGTCTTCCAGTATTGGAGCTAATATACAGTTTATTAAAGGAGAATATTTGCTTTACTTGAAATGTTCTGTGAACCCTACCATTTTTAAAGCTTCTTGTTAAAATAATACATTTTAACTAATTAAATTAGATAACAGGGAAAAAAGTATATGTTACAAGCCATCAAACCTATGAAGCAATAGGATCACTATGGACAAAAAACTCCTCTATGAAAGAAGTGCTACTCACACAGAAAGAAGATACCAAGGTAGGTTTTTCCAAGGAATGATCACTTAAGTCATTCAGTTCAATACCTTGGATTGATTTTTGAAATGCAAATTTAAGCAAAAAGATACAGGTGTGTTTGTTGATATTATTTAATATCACAATGAAGTGTGTTAGGAGGCACAAAGGTCCTCATATTTTATTGCCATTGTTATTTATTTGTATTATTGTAGAACCTAGGAGTCCCAGTCCTGGACCAGGACTCCATTATGCTCGGTGCTGTACAAACACAGAACAAAAAGACAGTCCCTGCCCCAAGAGCTTACAGTCAGAGTGATTTTTTTAAAAAAAATTTTGTTTGACTGTAGTGTTTGTGACAAATCTCAGATTTATAGACCTTGAGATCTGTTTACTCATACAACATATTCAGCATGCACAACAGGTGAGCTTCCCTCTACTGCCTTTTTAATACACCTCATTGATCTGGAGATGCAACCATAAGAAAATAGTTAATTTTCCTTATTTAGGCCATGGACCTGCAAACACTTAGACATGCTTATCTTTTTTTATCTATAAGTGGCCTCATTGATTTCAGTAGAACTACTCATGGTAACATAGTTAAGAACATGTGTAAATGTTTGCAGGATAAGTCCTTGGCACCTAGAGTGACCAGATGTCCCAATTTTATAGGGACCGTCCCTCTATTTGGGGCTTTGTCTTATATAGGCACCTATTACCCCCCACCTCCACCCTGTCCCGATTTTTCACACTTGCTGTCTGGTCACCCTATTGGCACCTCTGTTGATATTGTTAACATGATTGCCAGTTTATGAAAAATGTGATGCTTTTTAGCATGTGGATGGCGATCAAGTGGCAGCTGGCGAGAACACACCTATTTTATTGTGATTACAAAGTATAAATAAGACATTTCATTTTAGTGAATAAAAAGATACAGATTTTTCCATTGGTTCTGAAGATTCCAGGTATTCGTGAATTTGACTTACTCTAGTTTGGAAACATGAGTGTTCTGAATGCCAGTTTACAATTTAAAAAATCTTATGAGAATATTTCTGTATACCTTAATAATAATAATAATAATAAATAAAGAATTAGATGTGAGCAAAAATTGGAATTTCTATCCTGAGGGAAATGTTGATATTTCAACATTTAAAAAAAAAAAAAGAAAAAATCCTGAATTAGGATGAAAAGTTGAAAGCAATATTTTTCACAAATGAAAAGTTCAAAACAAATTTTTGATTCAGAAATGGTGAAATATTTCATTTCAGCATTTTTGATAGAAACAAAACATTTTGAATCAGTTCAACATGAAACTGCATTTCCCTATGAGAACACAGACACAGGAAACTTATAGTTTTGGACATCTCGTGCTCCATTTTCTGCAGTGCACCCAGCTCACTGTCCAGACTATATTTCTGCTGGTGCACCACATGGCTCAGTCAAAGGAGGAGACCACACTGCATCATGGGAGGTGTAGTCTGGTTAACAAGTATCAGAGGGGTAGCCGTGTTAGTCTGTGTATCCACAAAAACAACGAGAAGTCTGGTGGCACCTTAAAGACTAACAGATTTATTTGGGCATAAGCTTTCGTGGGTAAAAAACCACTTCAGACGGTTAGAGAGTCAAGCCAGTAGGAGAAAGTGAGGGCACAAGATGCCCAAACTACAACTTCCATGAGGCATCGAATTACTATATGGAAATACAGTTGAATGTTTAATCGATTAGAAATTAAACATTTCGGTTTACTCCAGCAAACAAATATTTTGATATATCTATTAAAACACTGATATATTTTTGACATTTTTGTTAATCCTCAGTTTTATTGCCATTGAGAATCAAGAGCAGAATTCTGACTGAAGAGTATTTTATTTCAGTTGAATAATGAGAAACTGTTAGGGAAATAAGAACTGGGTGGTAAGAAGAATTATAAACTGTCAGAGTTTGCTAAATAAGGTCAGTTGTTTCCTAGGCTATGTCTACACTACCGTGGTAAGTCGACCTATGCTACGCAACTCCAGCTACGTCAATAACGTAGCTGGAGTCAACATACCTTAAGTTGAATTACCGTGAGGTCTGCACTGTGGGCGGGGTCGATGGGAGAAAATCTCCTGTCAATTTACCTTACTCTTCTCATCTGGGGTAGAGTACAGGGGTCAACTGGAGAGCGATCTGCAGTCGATTTGGCGGGTCTTTACTAGCCCCGCTAAATCGACCACCAGTGGATCAATCTCAGAGTGTCGATCCCTCCCATAGTGTAGACCTGCCCCAAACTAAACAGTTGCTCATCACTAATCAAGAATAATCTGCAGGAGGTTTGTTAGTTATCTTGGTCAAAGTGGTTAGTGATAATTCAAACTCCAAGTCTCTTAATAACTTTGATAAGGCTGACAATTATCCTGTAAATCCACCTATTGCTTTAACCTTGTTCTGTGCTTCAGTTTTCCCTTCTGTAAAAGGAGATAATGACCTGTACCCTTCTTTGTAAAGTCTTTTGAATATCTTGGATAAAAAGAGGTATATCAAAACTTAGTAGTATTATTCATTAACCATTAAACAAGCTTCTATACGTCCAAATTGAAGTTCCTTGTATCTTGATAGTATAAGGAAATGCATCTTCTGTCCCCTTATTGTAGTGCCTATTTTATGCAAACGATCTCAACATCATCAGGAAATATTGTCAGTTATCTGAATCTAACATGAAGTGAATTGAGGCATATAGTACACTAATTTCTTCTGGCATATTTCTGTGTATTCACTATGAAACTTTGTACACACTGAATGAATATCTGGAAATCATTTATTAAAATGTGACAGCTCTTTTGTAGTTTCCTTTATCAACAATATAATAAACATACACATAAATACTGTTCTATTTTGTTTGTTTGGTTCATTTGCAATTTAGCCTGGTTCACACCTGCAACAAGTTCCAGAACCAGCTGTAAGAGACGATAAAAGTGCAGAGATTCATAAAACAACCCCTGAATCTGAGGTGAAGTCAAAACCACTTGCTGTAACAGATTCTCCTGTAAAGAAGATTCAGAGTTCGAAAGATCTGGTGCCTTTGCCAGCAGAAATAAAAGTGCCAAATGTCATCTCAGGTACGAAACTCAAATTAGCATCAACTGCAGTGAATTGTGAATTATTTAATGTTATTTTTCATTATTCTTTTTTTAAAAAGCAACTCTAGCAGGCCTGTCAAATTTAGCTTTAGAAATCTAGCTGTCAAATTTAGCTTCCTAGAGTGGTAAACTTCATACAATTTAGTATGCTATATCAAGAGCCCAAAGAGGTGATAGGGGATCCCATACCGTAGACCACACCTCAATAAAAAATATGTATTGTGGACCACTTATCTTCCCATTCCCAATCACATGGATCCTTCTTGCTGTCAGTTGCACATCTTCTCTATGGAAACTGCAGCATTTGCTTTTGTTAAAGGATCATATTCCTTGAAGGTAACGTCTGTTTCCTCACATATAGCATCAGCTTACTTGTGAAGGCAACTAGTGTGGCTTCTCCTTGTTTCCAGTTGCTTTTACAGGCATCCTGGCTCTCCTGTAGTGTGAAATCTAGGTATCTGTAAGAGCAGCTGGAAACAAAGAGGAGATCCAGCACCAGGTGATCAGCCATCTGTCTAGGGGCCACAGGTTTGAGAGGTACTAGCCCAGGGCATTGACAAAGCACACACAATTTGTATGTGAAGCACTGTATTTTATTTTCACTAGTTCTTTACTGTGTTGCTTTTCATGCATCTTAAGTGATCAATAAGGGATCCATTGGATGGCATGCTGATAATGAAAAATCTTTGAATGTGCTCTTAATTAACAACTTAATCTATATAGTGACATTTAAGTGAAATTTTCATGTCCTTCTGTCAGTAACAATGGTTTCCCTAGTAATCACGAAAAGTGGTATTGGCCTTATCTAGTAAAACAGAGCTTCCCCTATCACTGATAACATTAATTTTAATTTGAAAATATTATATTAAGTTCTTCCAATATCCTCCAATCACCTTTTATGCATGCCCATCTGTCTTTATATAACCAAACATAACATGTTAGGGGCTTACTATTAAAGTGTATTTTTGTTGTTTGTTTTTATCCCCATTACATTCGCAGGGATACCCATGGTTTTGAGGCACGTTGCTATCAGCTGTCCTCAGTGTGAGGAAGCCTGGTCTGTGACTCCTGTGGTTCAGCCTCTCACACCACAAGCACTGCCTTCCAGGCCTCTGCATGACCCACTCTTTCTTTACAGGTTAACAGTAGGCACACTCCAACCTCTGAGTCCTCCGAGCATCTACCTGGCGTGCCCATCCCCTGACCCAGTGGACACTTACAGAATTCCCAGATCCTCTGCTACCGAAAGGAACAGTACACTCAGCTTAACAGTTATACCCTATCACAGCTCCGCTTAACACACAGCACTTAGATATGTTTATAGTAAAAACAAGACGTTTATTTAACAAAGAGCAAAGATTCAAGTGATAGCAAGTAGCATTATTGGAGAGAAATGGTTACATATAAAACAAAATCCTAACACGCATTCTAGAACCTAGATTTAATTAACAAAACACACCCTTGTCAAATCAAGTTTAGGTCACCCTAAAGTCTTTTCAGCCAGACTTGGTTGTGATCCTTTTTTCATGAAGCAAATACACTGTCAGCCTAGGTGAAGCATAATAGGGTGTACCTCTGCACCCCTAGACATGTCCAGTGATCCATTGTCTTCACTTGTAAACAGGGTATCCCCTGCTGCTTATTTTTTCCTGTCTAGCATCTCCCCTGGAGACTTTTCTTCCCTTGATCAGACTGCAAATAGGCTTTCATTGTGAAGTATACAATACTCAATCCTATAAAGCCGGACAGGTAGATAAGCATCTCTGCCTGAAAGAAACTTATTTATCGCCTTCTGGTGACCAGCTCCAACTCGCATACCTAAGAGCATAACTTTGCTTGTGTATATATGCTTATATATACATAAGTCTTTACATGTTATCTGTACGTACATTCCATAGTGATTACAGTGGTCAATGTGACATAAGCTTTCAGTAGAGATTTTACATGACTCCCTTTGATGAACTGTTATGTAGAGATTTGGAACCATGGGATCTATGTACTCCTGTGCACCCCTGTGCCCTCTGTTAGTTGGCACCAGGAGGTCCCTGGGTGACATCCCCTGCTATACAACCTTTAACATATGAATCCTTTTTTTAATCCCGTTGCTCCCTTATTTTTTCTTTTTTAGTTTGTGGAATTATTGGGTCTCTTTATACATAACTTTCTCAGTCCCTTCAGCCCCCACTTCTCCTTTCATATTAAACATAAATACTTATAGAAGGTAAAATAAAGTTTTTCCTATTTGTCACCATATTTCCAGGTGGAAGCCGTTCCGTGTCCCCAGTGGAGCCAACAGATTTCTATCTTTTTGGCTCAGAGGGGCTGGATGGGGTTCCCTCCCCTTAAACTCTACACATTGTTTGGGAGAGTCACTTCATACAAGGCATTCCCTTTGCCTCACCTCCCTGTACTGTGTGTGTTGCCTCCACATTTTAATAAACATATGAAATCACCAATAAATAATCCCAGTGGGGTCCCAATAAAGTCAAATGGTGTGAATTTATTTGCACTAATTTAGGCCCAGATAATCCATCTGTGATCTAGCTCATAGTATGGTGCAGTGAGTTCAGCTTGCCCCCTGGACCAGCTGTGAGGGAGATAGTGACTCAGTCACTATCTGCTTCTCTGTCTCCCCACTGCTCTGGAAAGGTACTAAACTGTGATCCTGTCACTGCATACTCTGCACAGTGTGCTGATCTAACTGTGCTGCTGGGGGGAGAGTCAAGGTTCTGCCTGCTTCCCAGTTTCTCATTTATTACTTCCCACCTGCAGGAGGGAGGGATGTAGCAGCTCTGCAGAGCCTACTGACCCAGGAAGCAACAGTATGGTGTAAAGGAGAGCCTTACGCACTACCCCCTTCTCCCTTGTGCCAGTGCTCAGGGCATGCCATGATCAGGCTTTTAATAGATTACTTTTTAATTGTGAAAACAATTTAGTGATGAGTTTGTGAGAGGTTGTAGATCTTTCAAATGTTTTTCTTACTTCATGCGACTTTTCACTGCGCGGCAACAACTTCCCTGCACTATTCCCACCAATGTAATTTACAGTTAATTTATAACCGTAGAGTACTTTATTATAATGCTTGAATTTTCACACTATCAGTATGTATAACTTCTGTCATTCTGAATAAGCATTAGCTTTTTTAAAAAAAAGCTTTTATGCCTTTATTATCATTTTATTTCATTTTAATATCTTTAACAGATGTAGCGAAGACAACAAAATTTAAGCTTGACCCCAGACTTATGGACCATGGTCAGTCCAACCCAGAGGATGTGGATATGTACAGTACTAGAAGCTAAGGCACCAATTTACAAATATTGGGAAGTACTAACAATAGCAAAGAAAAATGGATTATGCAATGTATGATTGTACCAAATGTGGTATAATTTAATCAGGTATTTTCTTAAATCCCAATATGTACAGTCAATCTACTTTGTCCTTGTTGTTTATTGTATATTGTTTCTTACTACCTATAAGCAATTAAATATTTTAATTTCTTTGAATAATAATTAGCTGTTTGACACTGAGAATTGTATTTCTCTCAATATGTGCTTGCAGTGGGGTGTATCAAGATTGTCAGTGTCAAGTTGTTAATAAACATAAATCACCTTTATAAGGGACTGTTTGAAAGTGTAAATGTATTTCTGTCCTTCAGGTCCTTAGTTGTTCAAAGACAGTAAAAGAGAAATCTGGTCATCTTTTGATTGTTGTCCCCCTTCTCACTCACTCCCAGCTCTGGAATGTTATGGGCAAATGATAGTATTTGGCATCTATGTTGGCTCAAATATCTTATTAGTCTGAGCGCTCATAAGATAAAAGAAACCAGCTGTGATAATTGTACTCTCTCAATTTCAGTTGCTTTAAGATTTATGTAAGCTAACTCTTTTTGTAAAAATCACTGCTGTTAACCTCTTCCACCAAGGTAACTAGAATAGAAAATAAATTTTGCTCTGTAAGTGTGTAGCTTTCCTAATTTAAAAGTAACATTTAAAGTGAAAAGGAAAAATTGGAGCTAGTCTTCAAAGCATCCCTTGTAGACCACACATTAGTTTTCAGTCAACCTTTAATAACATAGTTTATTTAGTTTCTTTTCAGCTCCATCAGCTCTAACCCATGTTACTGGTACTGTTTGTGCTCATGTGGAATTTATTAGCAAATTATGGCAGGAAAGTTGGGCATTTTAGTGACACAGAGGTTAAAGGAGGCAGTTATACTATTGGATGAAAGTGCTCTCATAGCTTAACTTAAAAAAAAGAATAAAAAGTTGTGGAGGTTAGTAGGGATAAAACCAAGGTCCAGAGTCTGTCTTGAAGCATGTATACCCAGAGCCCATTGCCTTCAATGGGATTTCTGTGAACATAAGAATGAGCAAATATTTAGAGTGAATTTTTCATTCTGATAAAATTTTGACATGACATAAAGTGATTTGAGACAAACTGGAAATCCTTTTTAAGGACTGTTTGTTTGACTTTTGAAGAATAGCATGTTCTGGCACAATACCGCTATTGCTATCATTTTTGGAGCAGAACATATACACAATTCTTTGCCTCTTGAACTAGTTATTAGTAGTTATGGCAACGTCACGGCAACTATATCAACATATAGTTTTAAAAAAATGTGAAAAGTAATTTGTGCCTGTGGATAGCAGCCTCTTTTTAAACAAACAACATGGCTGTTTCAGTAAAGAAGACAAAAATACCTAAAATACTGAGTTCCTGTTAAGTGACTAAGGTCTCAATCCTGCAAGCTGTTTTGTGTGCATAACTTACAAACCATGAGTATTCCCACTGAATCCAACATGAAAGTGTAGTGATTTCAATATCTGGCTAGGCAAGGATCAGATGAATTTATTGGGACTACTCAAAGTCATAAAGTTATTCATGTGTCTTTGCATTCTCAGGCCCTAAGAGTCTACATCAGTGGGATGATACAAGATATATATTATTCTTGTTCTTCTGAAATTGAATCTCACCTAACTGAGGGAAATAATAGATTAGAAGAGTGCAAGAAATGCAGTTCAATTTTCTATGTGAAACTTAGAGTTAAATTTTTAAAGAGATAGTGATTTAGCTGCAAGATATCCATTAGTGTCACTGGGAGTCATATGCTTATGTTCCCAGGTACCATGTAACACTCACAAAAAAGACACTTTGAAAGTTTACCCTGAATCAAATCAATGGCTTATGAGGAAAGAATCTGCATTTGGATCCTACACAATTCACCATCATTCATTCGCTTCTTAATCCTTTTGGTTATGAAAAAGTGGGAAGCTAACACAAAGGATTACAGATTGCCTTTTCTCTACAAATCTTATTTTAAAATAAACTAAGTTGTCTTTCCTACTAAATTCAATGCATTATCCAATTGTAAAAGAATTATTTAAGTGTTTTGTAGAATTAGGTAAAAGGGGAAAAAGCAGAAAGAGATCAATGTCTTCCTGTTGTCATAGCCACGGAGTGGCTGAGATGGCTCCTCAAAGCTAGGGATTTCCGACTGGTTTTGTGTTGCCTCATCTATTCCTGAAAGAAGAGTGGTATGTCTGCTTATAGCTGTGTGGTCTATCTTTTTCCTAGTATTGCATATCCAATGGAAACTTGACCAGGAAATCCAATATCCCTTCCAATCAGGAATTATTTCAGAATGGGTTTGACAAAAGGTTCTCTACTTGCTGCCCTAGGGTCCAGGCCTCCTCCTGTAGTGTCCTCAGAAGTTCCATCAAAGGGTTCCCAGTGGGGTCCCACCCTGTGTTAGCCAGTTTCCTGAAAGCAGTCTCTTACTTTAAAGTCTGCAGTTCCCCTCCATAAATCATCTACTCTGACCTGTTGGAACATATCTTTACCATTCTGAATGGTCTTCCTGACAAGGAAAGTGGCCTTTATGGTTGTCATGCTCTCAGCCCAAAGAGTCAGGAAACTTGCAGCCGTAGCTTGCAATCCCTCAGATGTAATCTTCTGCAGGGGGAAACATTCTCTGGATGTACCCCAGTTTTCTCTTCAAGGTGGCCTCTCAGCCTTCATCCTTAGCAATGAGATCTTGCTTCCCAACTTCTGCCATGACTCCAAGACTTGGTGTGGTGGCAGTACCTGGATCTCCCTAGAGTTTGAGATATGCATTACCTTATCTAAAATATTCCCCAAGTCCAGGTCTCCATTCATGCTGTTCGGAGGGGCTCATAAAGAGGAGAAGGTATGTAAATATATATTTTTCTGTAGGATCCAAACTTGCATGCAGCACTTCAGCTCCCTTCCATGCCTCACTTCTTACCCCAGAGGAGCTTTGAGTTCAGTGTATCCTAACTGTGGCCATGTCCTGGGCAGAGTTGCGGGAGGCCTTAGTTGAGGAACTTTTTCATGCTGCTACTTGTTTGAGACAGTACTGGCTGGAGTTGCGTCTGCTGAAGAAGCCTTCGATCGTCAAGTTCCCATAGTGGTCCTTCCTCAGCAGTTTCTAAAAGGTTACCTTCAGGAGGTTTGCTCATCTTAATAGGCTCTTCATGATTATCTTCTCCTCTTGTCACTTTAGCCTAGTCTATCTTAACTTCTCCTTAGTTACTCCTTCCTCCTTGGTAACTGGATCCATTCATCATTCGTTAATGGTAGCACCAGCATCACAAGAAAAAAAGTCTCTCGCCTTGCTCTCTGTGATGTAGCAGCACCAGTATGAAAACCAACCATGAATGCCACAGTGAATGACCAGTTTCAGACAAAGTGACTAGCTTAGATGGTGATCATGTTCTCCAGCTACATTGCTCATTAACAGGGGATGCCTACTTGCACCCCCCAGATGAGGAAGAACTGGGTGAAAAATTCTAATTCTGATTGGCTATTACCTGCCTGAAAGATGAGGACACAATCATTCATCAAACTGATAATGTCACATCATGGAAAAGGTTAGTAACATAAGACTTGTTTTTGTAGCAGGCAGGATCACTTTAACATATACATCTATTTGTTAAAGTGTTACAATGCATACAGTACAGTATCACAAGCTTATTTATATTTAATGTGAGGTGGGGAGATAAAACATGGGGTCTCTTTGAATAGTGTATGTAACAAACCAATGAAAGAAACTTTAGTAAATCTAATAGTACCTAATAGTAATAAAGGCTTCTGGTCATAAAACAGAGAAGTTACATAAACTGGATTAATCTTGTTCAATGAATAACAAACTAGAACTTCAGGGTGTAAGCAGCAGATGTTGTATTGTGCCAAACCAAAAGCAGGACAAACTGATTGCAGATTAAAAATCTAATCTCTCACAAATCTTGGAATGGTGAATGGGAACTTCCTTCATTCTCCAGATGCCATTCTGAGAAGATTCTCTTTGTTAAATCTGAAGAGATGCCAGCCCTCTTCAGTGGAAAGGTCTAAAGCTCCACGTCTCATATAGTACTCTATAGATGGCTTGTTCCAAATGACTACAAGGAAATGCATGCAGCTACAGTTTGTTTTGATTGCTATCTGTTGAAAAGTAAACATTCTGTATTACTTGCAAGGCATTATTTTGGGATGCCTTCTCCAATACTAGTTCAGATACTCATCTACAAATAGAAAGAGCAATCTATGAAAAGGGCCAGTGGTACCATTGCAAAAGGCCACTGCACACACAGTAGATGCCAGAGCAGTTCATGTTCTCTAACAAGCTAGTGCCTTTTTGCGCATGTTATAGTGATGAACTCAAGAAAATAGCAACAGTTTGAGCCAAAATTCTCCGCAGAGATGCCTTACCCTCTTTTGTCATCGTGACATTCACAGGACCAACAAGCGAGTAGTCTGCTAGATTAGATCACTCTTAGTTAAACTGAGGGAAAAAAGGCAGTGTAACTAGTCTATGGTCCAATTTCTGCAATACACTAGTATATGGGCTTGGCAGAGGGATTCTCAGGTGGCCAGGGATGGCAACTCCAAGGGTATGTCTACATGACAGCTTGGAGCAAGTCTCCCAGCCAGCACAGGCAGATTTGTATTAGAAGGGCTTGTGCTAGTGTGCTAAAAATAGCTGTGTGGATGTTGCAGCACTGGTGAAGGCTCAGGCTAGTTGCTTGAGCTCTCATGGCTAGCCCGTGCCTCCATTGGTGCTGTAACATTCACACACCTATTTTTAACACGCTAGTGCAAGCCCCACTAGCACAAGCATGTCTACCCAAGCTGGGAGGCTTGCTCCTAGTTAGTGTAGGGACATATTCCAACATAAGCCTTGGAGCATATCCACATCTATTACTACAATGGGAAGGCTGCAGCTGCTCTTCTGATTTCCACAGGGGTGCTTAGTTTACCCATTAAACTCTGCCTAGTCTGCTCATTAGACACATATCTAAGACCCCTCTTGTTCTGCAGACCAGGTCATTGGAACACAATAAATGGAGACGCCTTGAAGGGCTTCTTGTATTCCAGCATAATCACACAAGCTCTGCTGCCTACTGGGACCTTTTTACACACTGAGCAGGGGGTAAGATTTTTCCCCTCATTATTTGAAAGTAAGTATGAAGGCCAGAGAAGAATTACTTAGTGTGTTCCTAAAGAGGTACAACAGGGTATATAACAGTGTGAAATTGAGCATAGGGAAACTTAAGCAAAATATCAGAAGGCTTGTCCTAACTGAACTGTGAGAGTCTATTTAGTTAAGGGAAAATCTCCCTGTGGAAGATGTAGAAGTCCTACTGCTTTAAGAGTCCATTTACCACTAGACCAAACAAAAAAATCACTTGATAAAATTTTGCTGAGAACAGACTTGCATTGGCAGGAAAAAAAATCTATATGAAAACAAGTCTACATGTTTGTGTTACATTAATTGATCATATGTAGTAAGCATACTCTACAGTGACTTTGTGAATCAAAATCTTACACTGTCATAGGTCATAAAATGAGGGAGATGACCATTTAAATTATGTAATGTTTGTAAGTCTTTGTTTTAAATGATACATACCTGGCTTAATCTCTTTAAGATTTCCGAGCCAATGCCCAAGCCTATTAAATAGTGCAAACATTAAAAATATCAGTACACACACACAGTTTCATAGCAAGATATATTTTTATGAAATTGTAGTTGGACATTTTAAAATACTTAACTGGAAATTCAAATTAATTTAACTTTTATATTGAAAATAGAATTACTTTTCTAATAAATGTCATTGGAAATGAGCAAATATACATTTTTGTATCATAATTTTATATTTAATATATATAATATAAATATATTGAACTAAGCTATGTGTGTTTTGACTGGATCATAAGGAAATGTTGATTTACAGTGAAGTAGTACTACTTTTAAACTATTGCATAAAATATTTTCATTTGATATTACTTGTACTTCTATAAAATTTTGGAATTTGTTTAAATTTGTTGATTTTTTTCATTTGTGAGTAATTGTGGTATATTTTAGCACCTTCATAAGTACTTGAAATAAAGGGTTAGCATGAGAAATTTTTTAAAAAGTTAATTATTTTATATTTTGTGTCAATATCACTTCTATTGCAGGTCAAGCTCTTAATCCTTTTATTACATTAAATTTAAAGGCATTTTAAAATTTACTTTTAAACAGTTTAGAGAGTTTAGTGTCCTTTTTCTTTTGTAGAGAAGCAAAGTGTGTGTTCCTGAAGCAAATACTCACCAGCAACCACACAACAGAACCACTAACCCAGGAACCTATCTTTGCAACAAAGCCCGTTGCCAACTGTGTCCACATATCTATTCAGGGGACGCCATCATAGGGCCTAATCACATCAGCCACACTATCAGAGGCTCGTTCACCTGCACATCTACCAATGTGATATATGCCATCATGTGCCAGCAATGCCCCTCTGCCATGTACATTGGTCAAACTGGACAGTCTTTACGTAAAAGAATAAATGGACACAAATCAGACGTTAAGAATTATAACATTCAAAAACCAGTTGGAGAACACTTCAATCTCTTTGGTCACTTGATTACAGACCTAAAAGTTGCAATTCTTCAACAAAAAAACTTCAAAAACAGACTCCAACTAGAGACTGCTGAATTGGAATTAATTTGCAAACTGGATACAATTAACTTAGGTTTGAATAGAGACTGGGAGTGGATGGGTCATTACACAAAGTAAAACGATTTTCCCATGTTTATTCCCTCCCCACTCCACTCCCCACTGTTCCTCAGAAGTTCTTGTCAGCTGCTGGAAATGGCCCACCTTGATTATCACTACAAAAGGTTTTTCCCCCCCCTGCTCTCCTGCTGGTAATAGCTCACCTTAAGTGATCACTCTCTCTTGTTACAGTGTGTATGGTAACACCCACTGTTTCATGTTCTCTATGTATATAAATCTCCCCACTGTATTTTCCACTGAATGCATCCGTTGAAGTGAGCTGTAGCTCATGAAAGTTTTTGCTCCAATAAGTTTTAGTCTCTAAGGTGCCACAAGTACTCCTTTTCTTTTTGCGAATACAGACTAACATGGCTGCTGCTCTGAAACCTGGCTAGCTTATGTAAAGTATATCAATACAATTCTTTATAGCTATCCTTCAACCTTTTAAAGGAAACTTTTGATATAAACTCAGATAGCTCTCTGAAAATCCCTGCATACTGAATCATGTTAAAATGCAACAAACATAGATTTCAGACCAAACAAGCACCACAAAGCCATTATTTGTTTTAATAGTATCGAAAGGCATGCACTCCAAACTGCAGGATTTTTTAAAAGTCTTGGGTATTTTTCACGCAAAAGGCACTTCTAAAATCTGAGATACTAGGAAGGAAACCTCAGATACTTACTGATACTAAGGTGTAATCAAGAAGGCAGAATGTATTATCAAAGGTAATGGAGGTACTGGGCGAAGGGGTTCTTCATAAGGAACAGGTTTCAGATTAAATTCATTTGCCTTACTAACAATACTCTAATCTCTATTACCATTTGATCACATCCACAGAATTAGTACCACTAACTGGCACTCTTGTCAATCTCTAAAGACCAACAAAGTGGAATGTGGATTGTGGATGAACATCACATCACCAGTGTGCCTCAGCTATGACCGGCGGGGAACACCTTTTAGATAGAGAAGATAATTCAGTCTCTGTTCATTCATCCATTGATGGCAGTGAACTTTTTATTAAAATATCTAGAAGAAAAATCCATGAAGTTCCCTTGCTGTGGTCAGCTAAGGGTCCATAGGCAGCCTCAGCTGTCTCAGTATTGTTATCCCTTATGTCACTCTTTGTGTAATCAGGGATTGCTAGAGGTAATCAATTGATAAATATTTAAAACATGTTTAGCTTACTTCCTGTTTTTCCCTCCTTTGGCACTTCTGCTATTAGACAGTGGTAGAAAGGATGTTCTCCAAAGCCATCTTCAAGCAAATCTAAAATTAAAATTAAAACCTGTAAGTTAATGGCAGGCTTACCACATTACAAAAAAATAGTAAATAAGAATATTTGTAAAGTAGCTTTCCATCTGAGGGAGTACTTGGAAATAGTTACTGCTGGCTGTACAATTACAGTCCATCAGCCTTTTCCGGAAAAATGCATGGAGTGTTCAAAAGGGGTAGCTTGGAATAAGAGAAGAAAGAAATAGGTATGGTAGGGTGAGAATAAAAGCTATTTAGGAGCATGAGTCAATTAATGCACTAGATTGTATTTGTAAAAATCTTTAATAAAAAAGCATAAAGCTAAAGAAAAATTTAAGGTTATGAAATGGAAAATGTTCAAACATCAATATTTGGGGTGGGAAGTACTAAAATGTGTCTGCTCTTGGACTATCAAAACATACATATGAGAAACTATAATTTACAGCTGAGCTGGCCCTTCCATGAGGCCTGATCCAAAACCTATTGAAGGCAATAGGATTCTTTCTGTTGACTTCAGTGAACTTTGGATCAGGCCCACGATCAGCAGTTCCAATTCTGCTGCAACAGTGCTTCAAAGAAACATTAAAGGGTCATGGTTTGGGGTAGTTTGTTTAGAGCAGTAAAGTGTTAAATATAAAAACTCAATTTTTGCACTTCACTTTTGACCTGGAACTGGAGCTTTAAAAGTAGTTTGACTATTTCACCTACTGTTTCAGTTAGCAACTAAGTTGGAAGATATTTTCCTAAACTAGTGTTAACAATCCTGCAACCCTTGCTCATATGAGTACTCCTGCTTACTTCAGTAGAACTCCTCACATAAGTAATGGCTACAAGATCAGGACCCTAGTTTGCTGTCCTCTCCTTTAATCAAGGCCAGAAATAACTAGGCTGAGGCAGATGAAGAAATGCCATTTGTCACATAACATAAAACTTAAATTTCTGTGTTTTAAAAGTTAGCATTCAATTTTTATTTCCAGTTCTCTCGGTACAAATTCAGTATGGAACCAGACAGGGGAAACAAAGCCAATTGCAAAAAGAAAAGTACATGGAAGGGATAAAATACTTTACACTTATGCAGCACTTTTAAGAATCTTGCAGCTGAAGATCTTGCAGCTTTTAAATGAGGTAAGTGTTTTTCTCCATTAACCGATGAGGAGACAGACTGTGTGACTCTAAGGCTATGTCTACAGTAGAGAGCTTACAGTGGCACAGCTGTATCGATGCAGCTGCACTGCTGTAAGATTTCTCATGTAGCCGCTCTATGCCCACGGGAGAGAGCTCTCCCGTTGACATAATTAACCCACCCCCAATGAGTGGCGGTAGCTATGTCAGCGGAAGAAACTCTCCTAGCGACGTAGCGCTGTGCACACTTGGGCTTATGTCAGCGTAACTTATGTCGCTCAAGTAGGGTGGAATATTAACACCCCTGTGTGACATAAGTTTTGCCAACATAGGTATTAGTGTAGACATAGCCTAAGTGTAACTGCAAGTAGCAGTAAGCTAATGGCAGAGATGGGAATAGAACTCAGTTTTTCTGTCTGTCCTAACTACTGTAACACTTTGCCTCCAACAGCAATATTCATCATAATCTTTCAGAAATATACAGTACATAGTTGTTTTATATACAGTCAAACTTCAGAATTACGTACACGTTGGGAATGGAGGTTGTTTGTAACTCTGAAATGTTCATAACTCTGAACAAAATGTTATGGTGGTTCTTTCAAAAGTTCACAACTGAACTTTGACTTACTACAGCTTTGAAACTTTACTATGGAGAAGAAAAAAATGCAGCTAAATCTTAATTTGAATTGAAACAAGCACAAAAACAGTTTCCTTACCCTGACAAATCTTTTTTTAAACTTTCCCTTTATTTTTTTTTTAGTAGTTTACGTTTAACCCAGTACTGTTGGCTTTTCGTTTGTTTTTTTTTGAGGGGGGGGGGTTTCTCTGCTGCTGCCTTATTGTGTACTTCTAATTCCAAATGAGGTGTGTGATTGACCGGTCAGTTCGTAACTCTAGTGTTCGTAACTCTGATGTTCTACTGTATAATGTATGGGTTTCCATAGGTGTTTTTATTTAGAGTATAATCTTACCTTTTTCTGTTAGTTTTACTGCATTTGGCATATTTTCATATGCGGCTAGTTCCTGTCAGATGAACAAATTGGAGTTTGAGGTTTCATCAATAGTTGCAGTCTTTATAGAATACTATGCAAAATATTAATGTTTAGGCTACACTTGGATTTCGATGCAAAATGCTACCTTAGGCCCCAATCCTGCCATGAGCTCTGCAAATGAGGTAGGCAGAAACTATTGTTCTATATCTGCTATGTTCTAATTCACTATGGAAATGAAAAAAACTGCAGCATATGTGTTATCCTGTAAACTGAGCACAATCTGACCATAATAATACTTTTACACTTACATAGCACCATTTTATCAGAATAGTAAAGCACTTTTTATTATTAAAGGATGTCAGCTTGAAATCTAGTCAGCTTTAAAAAGAGAAGCAGTTTCATGGAGTACCCCATCCCAAATCCCCCTTCCAATTTTTGTGATTTTACAATTCCATTTTTATTTTTTTGTTAAACAAAATCTCCCTTGTTTGAAAGACATAAACAAACAGGAGAACTACATATAAGAAATAGTGATACTGACTATACACTACCTGGGAAAATAAAGAAAATATTTTTCTTTAGTTTGTTTTATAGTAACTTTAGGTGTCACTTGTACGGCATGTAGGTGGTAAAAACTTTGTGACTTTTTTTAGCTTGATGATGTCCCTTTGACTAATGATGTTTCACAACACTTGTGAGACAGGTAAATGGAAGGAGAGAGTAGTTACATCCAAGACTTCAACAGTCTTGAAGTAAGTTGGATAGAAACACAATACAGGGGTCCCAGTTATCACTAGCAGTTGAGCAGATTAGTGGAACTTTTTGTTTGTTGTTAGAAAGAACATTCCTAAGTATTTTGTGAAGGATGTAGCATGCTGTCTTATCACATCAGCAGAACTCTATAGATGATGATGATGAAAAATTGCTGCTGTTAAGCCTGGCTCAGTATTTTCCAGAAACCTGCTGCCATATTAGTGAAAATTAACTCCAAAAGATGGCAGTATTTTAGCTACCCCTGCAGAAGACCTGAATTTCAGAACTGATTAGGAAACTCTCCTCTTGGACCATTGAGGAATGAACACTTTGTAAAGGTGGCAAACTTTTATCTGTGGGAAGGATTGCTGTATCACTTGCGCTGACTTCATAAGTCTGATTACTGTTCCAACAGGTGTAGAAGCATATTAGCTTAGCCTACAAGTATCTGGGCTTTTTTCTTGCATAGAGGAATGTTATATCATTCCTTTGCATGTTAACCTTACTAGCCCTTCATTGTTTTGTGGGTACGTGATGTAATATCCTCCCTGGCTTGCAGGTGAGATGCAGTCAAAAACTAGAAAGGGAAGATAGGGAATAAATACAAAAAGTTAAAATGGCAACTGGAGGACTCAGTTGGGAACAAGATCAGGTTTTTTTTTTCTCTAGATGTAAGTCTTAGACACATCACCTCTGAAGAAGAGGATGTCTTTAAAGGCCTGATAGGAGAGAGAAATATGAATAGTAAGGGCCATATTGTGCCTGTAAGCCATTGGCCACATTGTGGGGATTGTACTTGGGCTATCGTGCAGTGGTTGTCACTGTGCGAATTCTACCTAACTCCTTCTGTGTCTAAGGGGTATCACACACTGAAGTTGAAGTTACTCTGGTCTTTGAAATGGGATAGTATATGCTTTTGCACTCACAGTGGGTCAACTCAACTGGCAGGAAGGGACAGGGACATGGTTGTGTCCCCACCTCAGCTCTTCCCACAGTGGCCAATTCTATCCACAATAACTGTGACTAGCCCTTCCAGAGGGGCACAAAGAGGGTGGGGATATTGCAGGCTCTCATTTCTTAATGCACCAGTCAGGACCTGCCACAATCTTAAAGTGAAACTCATCACTCCATGCCCAAAGCCAGAGTATTAGTACTACTAATTATTTATCAGCCAAAATGTGTTAGGAACTTCACATATGAGGAAGAAGACAAGGTCTGTCCCAAATAGTTTACAATCTAGTGAGAAAATGTGCAACTGAGGGATGGGAAATGGTATGAAACAAGAAGAAAGATGGTTGTGTTTGAAGCTAACCAGGACTCTTGTTAGTGCCCCTTTTGCCCTTCCTTTTTTCCCTTTTTTTTTTTTAATGTTTCTGTCAGAAGAACACCATAGCTTTCAACATGTTGAAAGGACTTTTAAAGAGGTCTGTGAGGAGAGTGCAGGCATTTCCGACCAGATATGGGAGGTAATTGCAGGTATCATGGAGTAAGGCACAGAGAAGGAAATGAAGGGCAGTTTGTTGTGCAGCATAGGTAGAATAACCATGTTCAGGAGTGATCAAAAAGAAAGGGGAACAGAGAAGTAGTCAGGGGAACATATTTTTTGTGGGCATTGGGTATTTTATTTGAGAAATATTTTTATGGCATTGGTAAACCTGTATAGATTTTATAAATATATATAAAGCACAGATCTTAAGAAGGGCAGTTAAAAAAAATCAAACTCTGAATTAAATTGAGTACATTGTGCAGTCTTGTAAAGAAGATCAGTGCAGAAGGTGAATAACAAGCTTTTTAGGGGGAGCTTTTTTAGGTGTAGGATTGAGGACATGGAATCTGTCATCACCTCCAGCACATGGGCAAGACTCAGAGCTGCAGTGCAATCTGTTGGCACCTGGTAATTGGTCCTATCTACTGGTCCACATAAGTGTGGATCCAAGAGACCCGCCCAAACCCCAGGCTGCTTCTCTGTTCTGGTATGTTTAGAGTTGTCATGGAGCCCATCTGCATGGTATACAGCAGACAGAGAAGGACTCCTCTGAGTCGCTTTGCCTTCACACACTCGGTTAACATGGGACACTGACAGCACAGAGGGGCTGGTATAGGCCATCCGCGAAGAAGTGAATTCCATCCTAAGGGCTTTATCCAGTCTGCATTTTAAAATGCCAAGTGATGAGGTTTCTATTACTCTCCTTGGGAGACTAACAACTCATGAATCTCACATATGTAACCTTTGATGTATGTGTTCATAATTAGTAATTTAAAAATGAGGAATAAAATCAAAGTGAATTCTTTAAGGTTCAAGCCTCCAGGGTGGTTACAGAAAATATAATTTAAGGGCAGACTGTGAATGGCACAATGAGTGATAAAATTAAAAACTTTATTTAATATAAAATAGTTAAGCAAACAGGCATTACGTTATAACCCTGCAATGCATTTATACTCGTATTCTAAAATGAATTGATGCATTTAGGGTGATTAGTTCCTAAACGAGGCATAATCCTTTCTGTAACCTTGATGGAGGATGGTCACCTCTAATATAAAAATAGTGTGCTATCCTTTTCATAATCAACTATAATAATGGCACTTAATTAATTAACATTAAATCCACCTTTTACCATATCTGTATTTCCACTACTATAATTAAATATTTTCTACTTTCTCATTGGCTAGTTAACATGAAGCATTGTTTTAATTAATATTTGCGTAAATACCATACCCATAACTAACAATATAGATTGCATTGTTCAAAACATTAACAATTTATCTAAAATACTTGTAAAAACCAGTTGGAACCAAAATACATTTACAGCATGACCTAGGTTTAGGCCATAACTTATCTCTAGCTTGCTTTTCTAAATTGTCTCACTTTACTTCACGTTACTCGTATTTTACCAGGCCTTGCCAAGCTATCATCAAGTGTATTTTTAGGAAATAGATTTTTCGGCCAACTTACATTTCAACAAATTTCTATATCAACATAAGCGAACATCATCTCTATAGTCTACCTGTCAGGGAAAACTGAATTTCTTCCCATTCTTTATCATAATTGATTACAGTATTTGTACAGAGCCAACAGTCTGCTAGGTGTTTAGAGATGAGGCCCCTATCTCAGAGTTTACAGTGTAAAGATATAGCATAGTAATCATTGTAAGGGGCCGGATGTAATGAAAAGCAGTATGAGTGAATGGGTGAAGTTTAGCATAGGGCTGTATGTCTTGGTAGCTCCATGATTATAGTTCGATTTTTTTTTCCCAGTCTCATTAACAGGTCACTTATCTTGTAGGGAGGATTATGGTTTATGGTCTTTTGGAAGAAATGAAAGGAGCTGAAGGCAGAGAGGATTAAAGCATGGCAGACCAGGATCGGGAGGGTACAGCTTGGAGGAAGGATGGGAAACAGGACCGAGAGAAAGACATGAAGGGGGCAGGTGGTCATGTGGTTTGGATGGAGTGAAAAGGGAAAATGGATTGGGGGAACAAAAAGACAGGGTATCAGAGAGGATAGGCAAGAGTTACGTCTACACCTCATGCTTCTACTTCTAATTGTCTGAGACATCTATCTAATTTATCTTATGTACCATTATCCACCAGCACATTAACACAAGTAGCTAATAAACATGCTCACTGGGGTTTACGCCTAGCACAGGAAATAGTAGTAAGCTTTAAAAAGGAAACTTGGAAAGACACTGACTGAGGGAAAGATGCCTGCACACTTCTGTCCCTCTCTTACTTTGATGAGGCGCAGGATTTCAGGACAGTCCCGGGGCTCTGCCGGGCGGATTCGGAAACAGCTCATGACGCCAGCGCCAAGGCCAGACCTGTGGAAAGCAGGAGGCAGAGAATTGATTACTTCCCAGGAGGGAGATGGAACACTGCTGGGCCGCTGTTTGGGAGATATTCCTCCTCATTCACCATTTCAAAAAGCACTTTGGGACAGGGAAGAAACAAAAATGTTTCTTCCTCCTCCTCTTTCTTTCCTTCACTAAAGTGGTAATTTAGCCTCCACTCCTTGCTCTGCCTTAGTTACATCCTACCCCTACTTATCCTTGTGACCTACTACTTTCGTTTAAACCAGCAGCCCCTGAGCAGATGGGTAGTCACAATGGAAATCATCATCACAATACTCACATTTCCCCTGCCTCAGGTTCATGGCCATAGTAGGCTGTTGGGATCACTGAAATCAGTCATTGAAACTGGAAAAAGAAAGACACAGGGAAGCTAGACTCAGTTGATTTACGGGGAGCAGTTGCTTTCCGTCGTACCAGCTCTGTGTTCTCTGCCCAGAAGGGGATGCCAGAGGCTGTCCCCAGTGTTGTCTCCTGTAATTTCTTTGGGTAGGGGATAGACTCTATCACAAAGATAAGTGAATTGGGAGACATGCCAGTATGTTGGGAGCATTAGGCATGAGGGGGAGAGCAGTGATGTCTTGGGTATGCAAGATGATTCAGGGCTCGGAGAAGAGGAGATGTATGGAAAGGGAGAGTATGGCTGGCCAGGAGGTGTGGGAGGAAAAGGACAATAAGGGCAGTCCAACATCTGTCTTTCCTCCCTGCAGCCTGATCAGGCAATTAGCTTTTCTCGGTCTTAAAGTTCTCTGCTTGTTTTCCTCTCTTTTCTATTTCATACCGAGTATACATCTTTCCATGTGTCTTTGTGCAGATTTTTAGCTTCTGCTTCCTCTATTTGCTGCAGTATGCACATCTCTGCAACTTTTTTGAATTAAGAGAATTTGCCCTTCAAGAGATTTTTTTTTTCAGCCTGCCAAAGGGTCTCTGCCAAGTTGTGATCATTCTTTGCACACCACTTTCCTGGTTAGAGCAGCTTGTATCATCGGGCCAAAGTAAATGTATTTCTGAATAGTTGCTAAATTTTTTTCCCCAACAACTATATATTTTTTCTTCTTTTAGAGAGACTTTAATTCCTCAAATTTAGAAAACAAACTCAGTCTAGAGGACACCCAATCAATTCCCATTTGTGATGTGATCCCATCAGATCTCACATGTTAAACCACATTAAGCTGGCTCAGTTCTTGGATAAGAGGCCTAACAGGAATGCCAGGAAACTGCAGGAAGTAGTGTTGGTACAGTCCACACTGTAGCTGGCACATTTTCTCTTATTTGCTATTGAACCAATGTGCTGGGATGGAGGTTAGGAGGCATTGTGTAGCAAGAGGTTCTGTCTTGCAGATGGGATTTATGAAATCAAGTTCCTGACCACTTGTGACCATTAAAGATTCCGTGGCATTTTTTTATCATGTAAGACTGTTAATCCCAGAGTCCAGACCAAATTTCACTTAAGGATGTTACATTGGGTCTGATCAGACTTCTTTAGTTATGTCTACTGTGCAATAAAACACCTGCGGTTGGCCGATTCAGCTGACTTGGTCTCACATGTCTCAGACTGTGGTGCTATCAAATTTCAATGGGGATGTTTGGGCTCAGGCTGGAGCCCAGGCTCTGGGCTGGACAGAGGGTTCCAGACCCCAGGTTTCAGCCTGAGCCCAAACGTCCCCACTACAATTTTATAGCGGCACAGTCTGTGTCCTGTGAGCCCAACATAGGCCAACCGCAGGTGTTTTATTGCAGTATAGACATACCCTATGAGAACCCTTGCATCGACACCTTTATCTTTCTTGGTACAACTCCCCTTGGCCCAAACCCTGCATTAACTTTTCCAAAAGAGAAACCCAGGAAAATCATGAGTGTGTCCTTCCAGTTTTCCTGCAGGTGTATCTGGTTCCATTCTGCCTTGGTCCATTCTGCCTCCCTGCATTCCCTCTGCACTTCAGGCTCAGTAGTGGTCTACTGTCACTCACTTTTATATAGTGTCTTTGTGTGCTGCTAAAATCGTGGCTGCTTTTCAGTGCAGGATAAATGATCCCTCTCTATAGTTTGCATGTCAGTTTAAGTGCTATGTGAACCTGTGAGATGAAAGGCATATTATAAGTGTAAGATCTTTGTTTATTCCATCTGAAGTCAATAGGGCTACAGTGTTGTGACAGTGACCTGAATAAAGCTAAAGTTCAGTCTGAAATAAATCTAAGTTTATTTCCTCATGTACAGAAAGAACAAAGTTCAGGGGAAATTCTTAAGCGACAGAAATTATCAACTTCTCTTACTGGAAACTTCAGGGCAAAGAACATGGAATTGTAAATACCTCCCTTCAGAAATAGAATTGAAGATGTATAAACTTGGATGATAGTATGTGCATTAGAAAGTAAAGATGTAGGTGTTTCATTTTAAACTTTGGGAGAAGTGATGGTAAAATCGAAGTGCAAATATTGTCAGCCATAGAAATCGTAGCAAAAAATTGAACATGTCATGAACATGTTTTATAACCAAACTATGGTGTGTGAAGGGTTAAAATCCATTGCAGATGTAATAACCTGGTATATGGATTTGTGTACAGGCCCAAAGTCCAGAGTTTGGTCAAGAGGTCAGAGGCCTAGCAATAGCTAAGAGAAAGCAGAATAACTAAAGATAACCTTGCTTTTGCTAAGATATGCCTGGTCAGCAAAATGCCAGATGTTGGGGGCAATAATTGTGTCTTATTCAAAGTTGCAAATAGAACAAAGAAGCCCTGTTTCTGTTGTGTCAGTTTCTTCTGTAGGGAGATGTTCTTCCCACACATCCATCCTTGAGTTTATGAAAGGTTCAAGCATGTCAGTATAAGATATGGCCTCCTTCCACCTCCCTTTCACATGGCACCAATGCCTGCCTTAAAACACAAATAAGCAACTTGAAAGACAATCTTTATTGCCATATACTTTCACTTTTTCTTTGCTTTTACCCCTAGATATGTATCTTTTGGACAATCAAAGGAGCTACTTCGTTCCTATGGACCCCAAATTGAATCCAACATATGTAACCTTTTGACCATTGGTTACTGTGCTATCATGTCTTGCAGCTAAACCTATCCGGGGGTGTGGGACTGCCTACCCTGTCACTTTCCCCACCCATGGAAAATCCATACATTCCATTGTAATCAATTGATTGATGGTGTCTCTGAGCCTAATAAGTGAGGTGACACTCCGTCAGCGCTGTACGTAATAAACTCCTATGTTTGACCTCTACACGGTGTGGATTTATGTCCTTCAGTATGGCCAGGGGAAAGAGATATGGATAGAATGGCACTATACTACAACAATGCTTGGCATCCAGAAAGGTCCTTTAAGGACCATTACAGTAAGGTACATATGAGAGCAACCTTGAGCTGCTCTAAGTTGTGCTCGGGGCCAAAATGAGCCCAGCCAACCCAAGATTGAAAGGAGTGTGCTTTAAAAGATAAAGTAAAGCCACCTTTATTTCCCCTGGGTACTGCATCAAGCAGAGCTCAGTTGCACCTAAAGAGCTAGCCCACTTCCTTTAAATATAATTACATGAAAATTTCTCAGCATTTCTAAACTCCAAGTGGGAAAATGTTTGGAACCCATTATTGGCTTGACAGCAGTGCCATGTTAGTGCATTTATTCCTGAGTAAATGGCTTTTTGATCAATGACCTCCAGAATCACCTTAGCTCTATAGCTAACATCAAGATGTCTTGATAGGTGCAGGCCACGATATTCTTTCAGTGTTCTTCTTCTTCCAGTCCAATGAAATTAAATATTACAGACTTTTTGGGTGCCTTTGTGTCAGTGAAGTAAGATACATGAATCTTTGCCATACAAATATTAATCATAAAATAAAATATTATATACTAAAATGTGTTACTGAATGTTTTAGGTTTGACATTGTTTTTTTTCTTTTTCTCTTCTCTTATTTGATAACTGCTAAACAGAAGTTGTGCCAAATAGGAAGAAGATAGATTTTTTTTTTCCTATAGTCATTTTACATCTTTTTGTCAATTCTAAAAATGTTTACTAATGAAATGCTTTATATTCATGGTGTTAATAAGGCTTCAGTTTCATAGATTTCATAAAGTTTAAGGCCAGAAGGGACCATTAGATTATCTACTCTGACCTCCTGCATATCATAGGCCATTAAATTTCACCCATGGTATTTCAGTCCTCAAAAAACTAAATTGTTGTGAAAAGCTACATTAAAGAAAGAACAAAGCTAAACAAATAAATGTTCTTATTGAATCTCTTTAACCCTTTATGCCACTAACGTGATTTTATTTACATATGATTTCAAGAGTTCAGAAAGAAAGGGGTTAATAGTAAAGATTTTTATTGACGGATTTAGTAACCATAGAAGATGTATATGCTAGAAAAAATGCCAGTAAATTTATTAGAGAGAGGTTAATTAGTAATTATGTACAGGGAAGGATGCTGTAAAACAAGTTCAAAATCCATGATCTTTGATCTGCTATGATATAAACAAAAGTAACAGCTATTACCTTTAACAGCTGCTCAACAAATAGAGGAGAAGAATTTGAGTCATCTCTTACTGTAACAGCTTCACAATGTCCAATTTCAGCGACTTCTTACCTCTCATTGTCTTACTGTCGAGTGTTTTGCTGACGGAACAGGCTTCAGAACGTAAGAAATATTTGGGTTTCTTTGCAATATAGACAAATTATGTTTTCAAGCAAAGTCCTGCTTACTTATTCACACTTTGTCCTAGTGGACAACATTCTTCTCTTGTGCTAGGTGGAAATGAGGTTGAAATAAGAAAAAAGTAAAGATGTAAGGATGCTTTTATGGTAACTAACAATGTGTATATGTTCTTTTTAGACATTTTAGGCTTTTTGAATTCTGCAATGGCAAGGTCATGATAATCTATAGAAAAGTACGCACATGAGATATAAGAATACCTGGCATTTTTGTTGGTAAAACTTTTGTCAGTCAGGGGTGTGAAAAAGCACATGCCGGTGTGGACAGCACTATGTTGGAGGGAGACACTCTCCCGCCGACATAGCTACTGCCGCTTGTTCGTGGGGGGTTCATTATGCCAGCAGGAGAGCTCTCCCGCAGGCATAGAGTGGCCACAAGTACTCTTTTTCTTTTTACACAGGAGACGTTACATGGTCTCAGTCCTACAAGGTGCTCAAGACTATGATCCCTAATCCAGCAAAGTGCTTAAGCATATATTTGTTTTTAAAGGAAACCCATCCCACCTCTGTCTGCATGCTAATGGAACTGCAAATCAGTTTGTTTGTTTGTTTGTTTATTTATTTAACTCCCTTAATATTTTCTCATGACATCTCTAAAACAAAGAAACAAAAAACCAAATGTAGCTTCACCGTTCTTTTTTTGTTCTCTAGCAGTTGCTTCCATTTGTGCTCTGTCAACTGTAAGTTTGCTGTAGAAACAGTATTAGTCTTCTCTTTCATTCAAATGCTCCCAGATTACTTTCAACCCTTCTCAGAGATCTTTGATGAGAAATTTCTGGTCTGATCATGTACTTTGATGCGGGACCCTCTCTACCCTTTGCCTCCCCCCATATCTTATGTCCCTCTCTCTTAATTTCCTCCTTACTTTCCTTAAAGCAACGGAATAGATGTTCTTATTGCCTCTCTGGAGTCTGGAGTCTAAGGGTATGTCTTCACTGCAGTTCACCTGGGTCTGAGCAGCAAGATATGAGAAGCCTGGATGTGGCGTGTCCATGCTGCTAAGCAACACTTGAATAATACCTACATATCTGTGTCCACATTGGCACTGCACTAACCCAGGCTAGATGCTAGTATTTCTGGGGGCATATCCCATGGTTCTTAGTGCTGCCCTAGTCTGCTCCGCTTTATGAATTTTTTCCCAGTGTATTGTGAGAGGACTTGTATCCTCCCTGGGCTCCTGTGCATAAGAATTCATAGCCCACAAATGCAGTAACTAAAGTACTTCCACCACTGTATGATCCTCACTTCTGTCAGCAGCCACCATTCCAGCAGATGCCAAGTCATGGCTCCAGCTCAGGACCATGACCTATTCTAGCTGTTGGCATTAATGCAACATCTGTTTTTACAACTGGAGGCAGAGAGAAGGCATTTCTGCAGTGACTTGCAGTGACTTCTGCAGTTGCCTGAGAAGGAAGCAGCAAGTCTTGGTTAGGAGATCATGCGGGCTGCATGCAGACATGGTGGAGCAGAGACATCTAATGTGAGCTTAATAGCTATGGAATTCCCATGCTGACCAGTGGTTCTGGAGCAGAACCACAGGCATAGAGTGGTGGGAATACCTTGTAATGCATATGGGGATGACCAGTAGTGGCTCCAGAACTTCTGCATGAGGAAGGACACCTTCATGGAGCTACATGAGGAGCTTGGCCTGACCCTTCAGCACCAGGAGACACATGGGGGCACCCATACCAATCCAGAAGTGATTGCCATTGGCATCTGGAAGCAGGCTGCCCCAAACTTCTACAAGTTGGTGGCTAACCAGTTGGATATTAAACCAACCATTGGTGGTGTGATGGATGGCTGTTTGTGAGGCGACGATTGCTGTGGTCTACCCATAGCTGGTGAAGATTGTTAATATCCCTGTGTCATGGGGTTTATATACCCCACGCTGGACCACCAAAGGGTTAATACAGGCACTGCTGGCCACTGCTGATTTGGAAGCCTCACTGTAGCTGGGAGGCTAAAAGGGCTGGGAAGCAGAGAGGCATGGTGGCTACCAGAGGAGTGAGCAGAATGGAGAAAGGAGCTCCTGCCAGCAAGCTACTCAAGAGCTGCCCAAAGACAACAGCCCAGGAGAGCTTGCAGAGATTCAGGAGAAGATAGGGAAAAAAACTCAGGGCATTGTCAGAGTCAAAGAATCCTGATTCTGCTTACCTAGCTCGAGAGCCCTGAGTTGGAACCAGGAGTGCAAGTAGGGTTGTATGCTCCAGTACGCAGTACCAGCAAGAGATTTTTAGCAGGTACAGGATACCAGAAAGATTTGGGGAAGCTAGCAGCCCCCCTCTGGGGGTGTGTGGAGCTGCATTCTGCTCCTTAAAGGAGCAGAACGGGGCTAGGGAGGGTATTCATTCTTTATATGGGTTTAACAGCACAATACATATACTAACAAACTTAAAGGCTTTGTTTAAGTTTGTTAGCAGATGTATTGTGCTGTTAAGTTGGGCAGAAGTCCTCAAGAAGGGAGGGGTTGGGGGGACGGAAGGTGTTTAAATAGTGGTTTTGATTCCTGCTCCAGCCTCTAGACTATGAACATATACTGATGGAAGCATTCTAACCAAGGAACTGAGGACTTTAACGTAATCTGGAGCCTTCATATTTCCTTGATCCTTTGCAGATGGACTTATGAGTTGTATATGGTACAAAGACTGTTCTAGCCTCATTGATTTCTGATTTCTCCCTTGTAATGGACAAAGACCAGATCTCTGCTGACTTTCTGACATGAGTCAGCAGCCTTTGATGCCAGTGGTATAAGCAATATAGCCCTTGCTTGAGTGGTTTTGTTCTTTCCTCTTCAAATGTCAAAGCCTGTTCCCATTGAACTCAATAGAAAAACTTATTTTGAGTTCAGTGGGAACAGGATTTGGCCCCAAGAGATCAGAGAATGTAATTTTGATCAATTGCTTGTATGTCATGCTAAGGAAAAAAATAAAACAATTTGGGCTGTAGTTCTATCAAAATGCACATGGCACACACAGTTCTATGCCTCTTTTCCATCAAACCCAGATGGTGCAGCATATTTGCTTTCCTAGTGCCTGGTGGAGAGCAATACTTAGGCCTTGTCTACACTGCCACTTTACAGCCCTGAAACTTTCTTGCTCAGGGGTGTGAAAAAACACACACACACACACCCGAGTGATGCAAGTTTCAGCGCTGTAAAGTGGCAGTGTAGACAGTGCACCAGCGCTGGTAGCTACTCTCCTCGTGGGGCTGGGTTTTTTTATAGCGCTAGGAGAGCTCTCTCCCAGCACTGGTGCCACGACTACACAGCCACGTTAAAGTGCTGCCACGGCAGCGGTTTAACATTGGTAGTGAACATACCCTTAGATAAAGGTAAGCTGGCAGAAGCTTAGTGTGGACATAAGGGGAGGCACTGATAGTGTGTTAAGTGAAAGTGGGGTGATTGTCCTTCCTATCCTTCTTTCATTTAAGAAGTTTTCAATTTGAGGTACTGCTGGATCCTCAGTGACACTTGGAAGTACAGGTGGCACCAGGGGCCAAAAGCATCATTTTGCAACTGCATCTGTTTAACAGATGCAGTTATAAAATATTAGACACGTAAGTGGGGTGTCGGAGGGGATGGGGAGAGCATGGGGGCCCCAGGCTGGGGGCGGGGTGGGGAGGAGTCACATGGAGGGTCACATGGGGAGGTCACGTGCCCCCCCTTGTGTCCTTCCCATGAGTGCAGTACCGGAAAGAAATGATTTCTACTTGCACCACTGGCTGGAACCTAGTGGAGTGGGCAGGCCTTGGTTCCCCTACTAACCACCTGATGGACTTGGGAGTATAGAAAGGGTTTTCAGACTCCTGGGGCACAGAAATAGACTGACAGCCCTGCTAGGCTCTGTGGGCCCAGGGGCTGTGCCACACTTGGCCAGAGGGGGTGCCGTTGCACTGACACACCACTCACTCACACCTTGAAATAATAGCTGGCTTTGAGAGAATAGGATTCTCAAACTGTGCTGGGACCATGTATCCATTGGTGCACATGAATATACCCACCACAAGTTGCACAAGGATACTAACTTGCTCATTATGCAGCCCTTGGTCAACCACAGAAGGAGATATATGAAAACCAACATGAGCCACACCAGCAAGATACATGATGCCAGGGTGCTCAGGAGATATGGCATTTACCTACCTGGACAACAAAGGACATTATTCCCTCCTAAAAAAATATATATATATATAAATATATATATATATATAGGGATGCATCCTATCCTCTTGCTCTGACTCATGAACCCATACCCTGATTTAAGGACACCTAGCAGAAGAAGGTTTAGTTACACACTGAGTAGTTGCAGGATGAGAGTAGAATGTGTATTTGCCAACTTGAAGGCAAGATGGTGCTGCCTACAAACCTGTTTGGGTGTTAGCATGCCCAGTGCTATTCATGTTGTTGGGTATTCTGTGCACTGCACAGTATATGTAAGGATAAGGAGGAGAACTTTTGCTACAAGTGGGTCAAAGACCGAGCTGGTTTGCAAGTCACCACAAGCAACCAGATAGTATGCCTCTGATAAGCAGGGTATAAACTTCCTTTTTTCTGTTTCCCAGGCACTCACACATTTTATTAAAAATAAACACAGGCAGCCTAGCCACAATTGTTAATAAAAGTGAAAAGTGCCAACAAAACAAATTGTAATGCCAATCAGTGTAGCGTCACTGGTAATGGACCAATATACCTGTTCTCATTCCCTCTTGGACATGTCCTCGTAGAGGTGCTAGGTTTGGATACATCTCCCCAAATCATGGACTCTACTAACCTTGCACGAGGTTTCCAAAGGGGGAAACACTGAAGGAAATCTGGATGGTGACACAGCCGGAGGGGTGAGTTGCAAAGAGGACGCTGCAGTTCTGCGAGCTGAGAGAGGAGCCATAGGCTGGAACAAGAGACAAAGTGCCAGTGTGCAGACAATGGACCTGGGTGTTGGTCTCAAGTTAATCCTCAGCATGACCAAGAGGAGGCGCTAGTCCGGCGATGAGGGTGACACCCCATGACACCATTACTTCCGTAGTCAAGACATATCCTAAGTGGCCATTCTCATTGTGACATCACTTCCTGCCATTGATTCTATACTTAGATGTATTTAGTATGCTATTGCAGTGTCTTGATTTTGTCAGCTGTCAGCCAAAAATCTAATTAAAAATATTCTGTAATAAAGGTAAAAGTCTGATCCTCTAACGGGTTTTGCAGGCCTTATGATTTCTGCTGTCTAGCAAGGTTTAAATGACATTGAGAGAAATTCAGATATGGCAACACACACATTAAATCATAATACCTACATATCATGAGTATGATTTACTGGCTAATGGAGGACAAATGAGAATGTAGGGTACGGATTCAGAATAAAATAACTTGTGTGGGGTAAGGCTTCTTGTTTAAAAGGAGGAAATAATGAGACTTCAAAGTGGTTCAGAACTATCAAACATCAATTCTTATTCACTGGGGGGTAAAACTTACAGTTTAAAGATTATTTCACATAAATCCTGAGTTTCTGATGCAGACAAATATACAGCATGCTCATCTGCATTACTTTACAGTTGAAGTGTTGGTTGTTGAAATGTTGGTTTTAATTTACAGCCAATTGCAGTGGCATTGCCGACTTTGATAATTGCTTGGGTAATACAGAAGGCTTCTGTCCAAAGGATATTGTTTGCGGGTGTAAAGGCAACAAACCTTTCTGCAAGTAAGTATTTTGGATGTGCTATGTAAGTGAGGCATCAACAAGATATTATTGCAGATAAAGTAAATGAGGACCTTGCAATCTGATCCATGAAGGTGGACCCCTGTTGTCTTTTGGGCTCTGCACAGGAACAGGCTGTTCACAAGAATCAGATTCAGGATCAGGTCCTAACATTGCTATTTTTGTACAGCATATGTAAGCCATAAACTTTATAGTTAAAGTTACATAGACATATAACCCTCCATTTTCTCATGCTAATAATTGTCTCAAATATGTTCTATTTTATCTTAAGCTTGAGCAAAATCTGTTTAAATACAAGAATGTAAGATGCTTTTTTTGTGGGTGGGTATCTCAAAAACAGTAGAACTTGAAGGCAGAGGATTTAAAAAATAGGAGCCTACAGTTAGGTTTTTACATCAACATTTAGGTTCCCCCAAGTGGTCTGATTTTTCAAAAGTGCAGAGCAACTGTTGGAGTTGCTGAGTGGTCAGAACTTTTGAAAATTAGGCCACTTATTTGGGAGCTGAATGTACTTATAGAAGCCTAAGTTTAAGTTCATATTTTTAAAAATATTGACCCAAACTTCAAATGCCACATGTATTTAGTCTTAATTTTCTTGGATATTGTAGTAAAAATAACAACTGAATCATGCACGGTACAAAATTTCTGCTCACTTAGGAGTGGTGTTACAATTCTGTCACTATGGAGTACTGTAAATGCATAGTCAGGAAGGCTCTTTGTGGGTGCAAGAGTTTGCCTGTATAGAGCCAGTTGTCGGACTGAAGCCTTAGCTTCCTTTTAATTCTGGTTTCTGCCTGCTTCCTCTAACCCCACCCTCAAAACGAAACAAACACAACAAGACACTACCTCTCCCCATCCCCACAAAAAGGCAAACGACATGCCAAAACATAGGTTAATGCAATATTAGTTACAATTTTAAATATCTAGGAAAAAAAGAAGAATGCTTCTCATACAGTAATAACATTAACTCACCTGTTTTGCATCATTTTATTTATGTTCTTAATTTATTTTGATTTATAATTACATCACACAAAAGTGTGTATCTAAGGTGCTAAATGCTTTTTACATCCATTAAAATGTACTCTTTAAATGAGAATAAAACTAGTGCCCTCTCCTCATCCTCAAAATCGTCTTTTCTTTTTAAAGAGATCTAGCAATTTGAGCTGAAAATATAAGTACCAAATTAATCTTTTGTATCCAGCATATTAGTCCTTTATGTGGCATATACTGTAGTCAGTCTCTGAAATGTTCTGCTACAGGAAATTATCAACTCAAATACCAGGGTAGGATAACTTTATGGCCATGAATCACATTTATAGCTATGCAAATTGAGTTACTAATAATGATAATCTAATGCCATGTATTGGGGCACAATCTGATCACCTATAGGATTTGGGAAAGAATTTCTCCCTTATACAGTTACAGGATTGCCCAGGTGATAAAGCAAATGAAGTGGGGCAATTCCTGAAGGTAAAATACCTCATTAGATGGATCAATATGGCAAATCGGTATGTGCCTACGTTTCAGCTCAATGCAATTTGAAGATGATAATATACTACATTAGAGAGACAGGATGGCTGAGGCTGCAGCTAAACACAGGCTACAGCTAAACACAAGGTGGAACAGATTGCTTAGCATAAATAGTTAACACATATTTTACATATTTAACTACTTACGCTAAACAATCTGTTCCACCTTAGAATCATAGAATATCAGGGTTGGAAGGGACCCCAGAAGGTCATCTAGTCCAACCCCCTGCTCGAAGCAGGACCAATTCCCAGTTAAATCATCCCAGCCAGGGCTTTGTCAAGCCTGACCTTAAAAACCTCTAAGGAAGGAGATTCTACCACCTCCCTAGGTAACGCATTCCAGTGTTTCACCACCCTCTTAGTGAAAAAGTTTTTCCTAATATCCAATCTAAACCTCCCCCACTGCAACTTGAGACCATTACTCCTCGTTCTGTCATCTGCTACCATTGAGAACAGTCTAGAGCCATCCTCTTTGGAACCCCCTTTCAGGTAGTTGAAAGCAGCTATCAAATCCCCCCTCATTCTTCTCTTCTGCAGGCTAAACAGTCCCAGCTCCCTCAGCCTCTCCTCATAACTCATGTGTTCCAGACCCCTAATCATTTTTGTTGCCCTTCGCTGGACTCTCTCCAATTTATCCACATCCTTCTTGAAGTGTGGGGCCCAAAACTGGACACAGTACTCCAGATGAGGCCTCACCAATGTCGAATAGAGGGGAACGATCACGTCCCTCGATCTGCTCGCTATGCCCCTATTTATACATCCCAAAATGCCATTGGCCTTCTTGGCAACAAGGGCACACTGCTGACTCATATCCAGCTTCTCGTCCACTGTCACTCCTAGGTCCTTTTCCGCAGAACTGCTGCCTAGCCATTCGGTCCCTAGTCTGTAGCTGTGCATTGGGTTCTTCCGTCCTAAGTGCAGGACCCTGCACTTATCCTTATTGAACCTCATCAGATTTCTTTTGGCCCAATCCTCCAATTTGTCTAGGTCCTTCTGTATCCTATCCCTCTCCTCCAGCGTATCTACCACTCCTCCCAGTTTAGTATCATCCACAAATTTGCTGAGAGTGCAATCCACACCATCCTCCAGATCATTTATGAAGATATTGAACAAAACCGGCCCCAGGACCGACCCTTGGGGCACTCCACTTGATACCGGCTGCCAACTAGACATGGAGCCATTGATCACTACCCGTTGAGCCCGACAATCTAGCCAGCTTTCTACCCACCTTATAGTGCATTCATCCAGCCCATACTTCCTTAACTTGCTGACAAGAATACTGTGGGAGACCGTGTCAAAAGCTTTGCTAAAGTCAAGAAACAATACATCCACTGCTTTCCCTTCATCCACAGAACCAGTAATCTCATCATAAAAGGCGATTAGATTAGTCAGGCATGACCTTCCCTTGGTGAATCCATGCTGGCTTGTGTTTTATTGTGACACTGAGTACATTTGCTGGACCTGAAGAAGCTGTGTAAGCTCAAAAGCTTGTCTCTCTTACAAACAGCAGTTGGTCCTATAAAAGATATTACCTCACCCACCTTGTCTCTCTAATATCCTGGGACTACATGGCTACAACAAGACTGCATATAATATACTACATTGTGAAAATTGATATTTATAATGAAAAATACAAATCCACTTTAATATAAATTAAAAAGTATGGCTGAGCAAAGTATCCTCAGTGAAGAGGATCCAACTATGGAACAAACTTCCAGAGAGCATTAGGCAAATCCAGAGTCTGACTCTCATTAGAAAATGCGAAATCTTCAAAAAGACCTTTCTATCACAAACATGATATTCATCACACTGACACACCTCCTACGGGGAAAAAATGTAAAGATCAAACAAAACCCTGAAAGAAACCAGCTTTAAAAATAAAAGTAAATTAATTAAAAAAAAAAATTAAAAAACCCTACCCCAAGCAGAGTTTTTACCCTGAAAAGGCAGAAGAGCCAGAGACTCCATGAAGTTCACTACGGACTTTGCTATTGCTGTTGATTTTACATGGAAAGTGCACAGATACAACACTGGTGGAGAGCAGTATAAAACTTTAAGATAGATAATGCTTCATGAAAGTAATGGATCTCTGGACTCCTGACATACTTCACTCAATAACAGAACAAAATGTTCCCTTTTTTCTGAATTATTGGAGGGGTTTTTTTTAATTAGAATATTGTTCCTTTAAGAAACACACTTCTTTTTTTTTTTTTTTAATTGGCAGATGTCCTTACTACCGAGGCCTCTGGGGAGATTACTGGTACATGGGTCACAAATGTGAACAACTCTGGAATACTTTGGACTTGATTTTAGTAACTGTACTTCCTGCAGTAACCCTGGCTTTCCTAGTTGGTGTAATAATACAGTGTGTCTACTACTGTAAAAACAAGTCAAATAAAAGTGTGAAAGGAGCTAGGTAAGTTATTTTTTTACATAATTAAGTTTTTTGCTGATCAAAGAAATGAATCTAGAAATAATTAACTCCTTTATTTTATGTGTATGTTGGACAACGTCAATAGAGGATCGTAATTTTTTACAAATCAACTCAAAAGAATTGTGTGGAAGAGTTGGTCTCAATATAATAGAACAGATACCCAAACTTTGTGTGAAGTGTAAAGCAAAGAAAATCCTAGTATTTGAATGTATTTGCAGCCTCTGGTGATTTAAATTAACAGTGTTTACAGTCCAAAATCTCCACTCACTTTGTATCTGATATAGTTTAGGAATAAATCAAAACATCGTATCAAAACTAGGGTTGTCAAACTATTAAAAACAATTGTGATTAATCGCGAGATTTTTAAAAAATCTTGATTAATCGCAGTTTTAATTGCACTGTTAATAATAGAATACTATTTGTTTAAATATTTGTGGATGTTTTCTACATTTTCAAATATTGATTTCAGTTACAATACAGGAATACAAAATATACAGTGCTCACTTTATATTATTTTATTACAAATATTTGAACTGTAAAAAAAGTAAATGTAGTATTTTTCAATTCACCTCATACAAGTACTGTAATGCAATCTATATTGTGAAAGAGCAACGTACAAATGTAGATTTTTTTTGTTACATAACTGCACTCAAAATTAAACAATGTAAAACTTTAGAGCTTACCAGTCCACTCAGTCCTTCTTCCTGTTCAGCCAATTGCTAAGACAAACAAGTTTGTTTACATTTACAGGAGATAATGCTGCCTGCTTCTTATTTACAATGTCATCTGAAAGTGAGGAAAGGCATTCATATGGCACTGTTATAGCTGGCATTGCAAAGTATTTACATGCCAGACATGCAAAACATTTGTATGTCCCTTCATGCTTTGACCACCATTCCAGAGGACATGCTTCCATGCTGATGATGGGTTCTGCTCAATAACGATCTAAAGTAGTGTGGAATGATGCTCGTTCATTTTCATCATCTGAGTTAGATGCCACCGACAGAAGTTTGATTTTCTTTTTTGGTGATTTGGGTTCTGTAGTTTCTGCATCGGAGTGTTGCTATTTTAGGACTTCTGACAACATGACATCGTCCCTCTGAGATTTTGGGAGGCACTTCATATTCTTAAATCTTGGGTTGAGTGCTGTAGGTATCTTTAGAAATCTCATATTGGTACCTTCTTTGTATTTTGTCAGATCTGCAGTGGAAAGTGTTCTTAAATCGAACAACATGTGCTGGGTCATCATCTGAGACTGCCATAATACGAAATATATGGCAGAATGCGGGTAAAATCACAGAGCAGGAGGCATGCAATTCTCCCCAAAGGAGAGTCGCAAATGTAATTAACACATTAGTTTTTTTAAAGAGCATCATCAGCATGGAAACATGTCCTCTGGAATAGTAACCAAAGCATGAAGCGGCATACAAATGTTTAGCATATCTGGCATGTAAATACCTCGCAATGCCAGCTATAACAGTGCCATGTGAATGCCTGTCCTCACTTTCAGATGACATTGTAAATAAGAAGCAGGCAGCATTATCTCCTGTAAATGTAAACAAACTTGTTTGTCTTAGCAATTGGCTGAACAGGAAGTAGGACTGGGTGGACTTGTAGGCTCTAAAGTTTTACATTGTTTAATTTTGAGTGCAATTACGTAAAACAAATCTACATTTGTACATTGTACTTTCACTGTAAAGGGATTTCACTACAGTACTTGTACAAGGTGAATTGAAAAATACTATTTATTTTGTTTCTTTTTTACAGTTGTAAATATTTGTAATCAAAAATAATATAAAATGAGCACTGTACACTTTGTATTCTGTGCTGTAATTGAAATCAATATATTTGAAAATGTAGAAAAACATTCAAAAATATTTATAATTAATTTCAATTGGTATTATTTAACAGTGTGATTAAAACTGCAATTAATCAATTATTTTTATAATCGAGTTAATTTGTTTTGAGTTAATCCCTAGAGTTGACTGTGATTAATTGACTGCACTAATCAAAACACTTAAGTTATTAGGCATTTTACCTAATATAATCACATCCACCCAAACAAGACCTTTGTTTCCCTCCCTCAGGACTGACCATGCAAGCTCCTTTAATAAGTCCCCTTAACTGACTTGCTAGGGTGAGCTGAAGCTACGATATTTGTCCTGACTGATTTATGAGAGTATGCTTGGGTGCCTTTCCTCAACCTCAAACAGACTAAAGAGAGATCTGACCAGGATCCTGCCAATTAAGCACTATTTATCACAATCATTGGCATTTTGAGCAGATGCTTGTGCTCTGTACACATCCCAACATTTTGTGCGCTGTCTGTGAGAGCATCCCCAAGTATTTAAAGAATGAGGGGCATCTCTGCCCTAAGAAGCCATTTGGCTCACACCTTCTGTCACTAAGGCGTGTATGTGCATCCCAAAACATAGCAACTAAATCTCACAATACTATGCAAGAGCTAAAATTTTTATATGGCTGCCATGCTAAATTACAGAGCAACACAGCCCACTGTAGACTATCCTCAAAATATCTACAAATTCAGTACAAGAGCCATGATCTAAGGAGATGTGGGCAAAATCACACCAAAAAAGCATTACATATCCTGCACTGAAAAGAAAAACACTATGAATTGCTAAAGGAAAATTATAGCAAGTTAATGCTGCACTAAATAAAATCTGTTTTGGATGTCTTAAGCACACAGGGGCCAGCTGCAACCACAGGAGAAGGGGAAAGTGGGCTTCATTTCAGATTATAAGGGGCTTGAAAAAGTTAACTATACATTTTATATGATGTGGCCCATTACTGCAGAGTCTCCATCTTATTTATTATTAATCATGTGTATAGTGCTGTTGATCTGTGCAGTGCTTTATAAACTGTATTATACATTATCTGCTGTAATGAGTTTCTAATGTAAGGTAGACAAGACAAATCAACAGCCGAGGGAAAGGAGGGAATACAGAGATTACTTGGGAGAATGAGGAAGTTTTGAGGAGGAGCTGAAGCATATGTGAGCTTGAGATAGAAAACGGGAGACTGTTCTAGGTACTGAAAGTGGAAGAAGATGAAGGGGGAAGAGGGTGAGAGGAGAGGACTGGGAGGAGACTTTCATTAATGCAACATTCTGTACCTCCACAATACAGCGGGCTCAATTTTGGCCTCAGTTAAGCCTCTTCAGCACAGTCCGTGAGGTTGCACAGGTGTAAATGAGGGGGAAATTTGGCCCAACATCTGCAATTTATTTCAATAATTGTTTTTAGTTAACATCCTCGGCCACTGAATACACTTATATCATGATTAATTGGCATGGTACATACTAATCTATGCAGCTAAGGATTGTAATAAAGATTCAGTGTTCTTAGTCTATATTGTACCTGTATATAATGGAGAAGGAGGATCTAAGTTTTTCATAAAAGACATGTTCATGAATATACTCCACAGCATGGTTTGTTTTTAATTTCAGGAAACCGGCAAGACAAACGGAACTCGAGTCACAGCATAACCATGTGTTTGTTCCTGAGCTGGATGATAACTCAAGATATGTTTCTCAACAACGGTGGGCTAAGGTAAAAAGTGAAATATCTGCCATCTAGATTGTCACATGCTCCCACTTCAAGTGGAAATCAGATGTGATTTGTAATGCTTCAGTGTATTGGTGAATAGTATTTGTAACAGTATACATTCTGTAGGCCAGTATGTTAAACAATCAGGGCTTAAAATCTCAGTTTGTCTTCATTCATCCAGTGCTGCCTTGCATCCAAGCAGTGCAGGTCAGAGGAGGAAACAAGCCAGCATTAAAAGTGCAATGAATACAGGCAAGTATGTATGGTATGTGTGAATATAATGCTTGTGAAAAACAGATGTTGAATCTGACGTTCTCAGTTTATCTACAGAACAGGTACTGCGTGGACAGTCGTAGTGCAGGTTTCCACTGCTATGGTCTGTCAGTGTGTCTCAACACTGACCTCTAACAAAAATCAACTCAGGTTGCTGAGGAAGTGGTTTGCTTTCCAATTCACTTAACTTATTGCTTTCCTAACAAACATGAATATACCTGTATGCAGTGTTGTTGTTGCCATGTTGGTCCCACAATATACCTGTCATGTGGCAGTATATGGCAATTTAATTTCTGTAAATTAAGTAAAATTGTTCGCCTGCAAATTTTAAAAACATGTAAAGTTTTTCATGTACAAAATGGATATGTTCACAGATTTTATGGGCACATTTAAGGAAGCCTAGCAAGGATTTGTTCCATATTATATCTATGGTCGTATTCTGTTGTAATGAAGATATATCAGGGAAGATTCTCAGCTGATGTACTAGCATAACTGCTTTGAAATTAATGAAGCTATACTAATTTATACTTGCTGGGGGCCTGGCCCATCATGAAAAAAGATAATGTAATGCCTTAAAATTTGATACAATGAAATCTTGGACTAAAGCTGTATATAAGCTATGAATGTAATTAGGGTACATCTACACTACCTGCCGGATCAGCGGGTAGTGATTGATCTATCAGGGATCGATTTATCACGTCTAGTGTAGATGCGATAAATCGATCCCTGATTGCTCTGTCATCGACTCCTGTACTCCACCACAGCGAGAGGCGGAAGTGGAGTCGACAGGGGAGCGGCAGCAGTCAACCCCGCGCTGTGAGGACGGGAGGTAAATCGACCTAAGATACGCCAACTTCAGCTACGAGAATAGCATAGCTAAAGTTGCGAATCTTAGGTCAATCCCCACCCCAGTGTAGACCAGGCCTAAGTATTTCTTCCAACTGTATTTAGTTTGCCTTTCAATTTATTGTAGGTGAAGGGCTAACCTCTGGGTAAAACTAATAGCGTGGCCCTTCTTTCTTCTGCCATGTATGTTGTGAGACTTCTCATCTACAGACGCTTCTGTGGGTGGATTAGTTGGTTTCGGCTGGCCAGCAGAGTATGCTTATGCATAATGTAATTTTCAGTTTCTCTGTTCTTCATTCCCTAGATGAACAGTCAAGCTTGTGATAGGACATATGTACCTACATACTAAAAAGTTTTGCCATAATTCATAATATAAATTCAGTTAAAATACACAGTGTACCACTGAATTAGTACTGAGGCTGGAATACTTTAAACAACCGCTTCCTGTTTTATTATTTTATCTTTGGAACAAGGATGAGTCAAATCCTAAATTCACATTGAAGTGAATATGCAGCAATCTCTTTTACTAGTTGGCTAAACTGACCTGAAGCACAGAAGTTACATAAAACTGGCCCAAGGTCACACTGTGAGTCAATGACAGAGCCAGAAAAAGAGCCCTGCCTTCATTCTGGGATACATTCTTTAGGATAGTATCTAAACATTTATATGGCACTCATCACCAAAGCGCCTCACAATCATTTTAATGAATTTTATCTTCACAAACTGTCTGTCAAACAGGGTAGATTAAAAGAGTAGCCCAAGGCCATAAAGGAAATCTGTGACTGAGCTGGGACTTAAACTCCTGTGTGCTAGTCTATAGTGCCCTACTCACTAGACCATTCTTCCTATGCCAATTTCCCACTCCTGACTCTCAACTCTGTTCTCTGACCATAGACAACATATTTTCAGTAACAGGGATCACCACTTGTACTAGCCAGCAACGTAAAGAAGAAATGGCTATATAAACTTTAACTGTATGAGATAAGGGACACATAGGAACTCACTGTATGTCCATATTCTCCATTTCTTCCATTTGTACCGGTGCATGCAAGTCATCTCATTTACAAACAACAAATCTGGCTACCTGAGAAATGAAAGCAGATAGCTGCCATGATAAATATATTTATAAAATATTTTAATAGAAAATCATTGATCTTATCACTTAACAGAAATACATAAGGCACAGCTTTTCTTTCACCAGTAGATGGTGCTGTTTAATTTTTTTATAATTATTGCTGAATTTGGTACTACAGATGCTAGCTTTGTCTTTTCTTACTGAAGTAGTAAATAACCTACCTCTCAAATGAAAAGTAGAAGTGCTACAAACTAGGGGTCCACTTCTGCAGCCCTTACTCGTGTGAGCAGTCCCACTGGAGATGTAAGGGCTAATGCATTATGCCCTCATTCACCTCCATGTTATTCTCTTACAATGAAATATTTCTTCAAATTGTTAGTTTCTAAAAACTAAAAATATAACGCTAATGCGTTAAACTATTTTTAATTAAGTTATTATAGCAAAAGAAGGCCAGATCCTAATCTATGCTATGGCCTTGTTATGATACCAAAGCAGTGAAATGGCCCTAAAAAACTGCCATAAAGGAGAAGCTAGCTGGTGAGTTTCCCATTGGGGGGAATACGCAGGTGGTGTAAAGATGGGATGGGGGCATGGCCAATGTGCACTGTTGTCCTAAAAATCCCTGCTACCGTAATAGCCCTATTGCCCTGAGCAATTAGCCAACATTTTGGGCCTTGTTGTCTTGTTTACAATAGGAGGAGAGAGTGATGATATAAGTCTGGTGTTTCTTTGGTGCAATCCTGTTTATTTACAAAGAATGTACACAAAATCCTGTTTACCTGAACACAGTAGGAACAAACAACGGGCAGTTTTCTTGCTTATTATTTGCAAACCTTCCTTTTCAGCCAGCACTGTGCTTAAAAGAAGCTCTTTTGGCTTCTTCTCAGGGCCATGCTACTTGTGCTTCTCTGACTTTCCTGACTGCTTTCAGTTGGCTTTCTGCCTTTGAGAGAGACAGACACATACACACCCTTACCTACATATCTACCTGCAATCCAGTCAGTGCCCCAGCCCCTGCATTTGTAATCAGTCCAATGGAAATCCCACTTATTCTCCCTTAGTTCATTCGTGCTCAGGTTTTTCATGTGGCTGATGCTTTGGGCAGTGGTTTCTATCGTTTCAGCTATCTTATTTCATAAAGGAGCTTAATTGCTTTTTCCATTTACCCAGAATGAACGATGGTCAGCATGCCCATCAGCTGCAATGAGATATTTTATTGCCCACAGACCAGACTCGTTTCCTGGAAGCTACCAACACCCTCCAGCACAACAGCCCCATTGGCGTTACGAATTAGAATATCCCTAAGTAACTATGCCTCTGGGTGGTGATTCTGCTGCAGCTGCTAACACTCCAATAAAGATAATACTTACAGTCCTAAGAAATAGAGAAAACTAAAAGAATGGTGCCGCTGACATTAGTTGGATATTTGCCTAAATAAGGAAACCAGAACCAACCCTTTCATGTGTTAGACAAAATTGGGCTAGTCAAAACACTAGAAACTGTACACTTAGGGACACTGGCAGGGAGGTGGGCCATATAATTCTTCCCTCCAGATGCTAGTTTGTTAAGCTAACAACTTGCTGATGATCCTGACTTGTTGTAGCTTTAGAAGAGGAAACATAATTTGAGCTTGGTTGCCACTACAGAGTACATATTTTGATTCTTCAGATTGCTCCCTTTCCTGCTGCATGAAAATGATGCTCTGGTGTTTCATCATTCTCTTTTTAAGAGAGGATCTTGCTGCAAAACAAAAAGATACTGCATTAAAAAACAGCACCTCTACAATTACTCACACATATCAGAAGACCTCCACCCTACATCCGCTTCCTTCTCTCTCTCTCTCTCTCCTCCATAATACAAATGATGAAAAAGAGAAACAAATGTTTTTTTTTTTTAAAAAAACCCAAACATTAAAATGACCTTCGCTATCAGAGTCATTTTGTTGACTTTGTCTTTCATTTATACTGGGAGTAAATTAGGAGTAACTGATATCAGTGGAGTTGTATTGTTATAATACTGGTGGAAGAGGAGCATCAGGTCCATTGAGCCTTATTTGTTATGTGGAATTTACAACTGTTATAATGTTAATGAATTGATAGTGACAAGGGTGATTTATACTATCTTCACAACAAATACACCAAAAGTGAGTTTTATAATTGGTAAATCAATTGATACATATACAATTGATACATATACAAGTGTAAATACTAAATTTTTAAAATCAAAGTCAAATGCTAGCAATCTGCACCAGATGCGTTACTTTTCTAAACATACTGTTGTGTACTTGGTGTGTAAAGCCTTCACTTCTCATCTTTCTTATACAGGATGACTGGACCACAGAGAATATTAGAATGCCAAAAATTCAACTGCAAAGCCAAAGTTTTGTGCAATCACAGTCACCTGGTGAAGTAGAAAGTTTCAGGTATGCTATGCTTTTGTCAGGCCTTCTTTTCTCACTTTCTCTCCAGACTTGGTCCTTGGCTTAGAGGGTGAAAGAATCACTATATAACTTTCAGTGGTATAGGAATTGCCATACAGGATCAAATCATTAGTCCATCTAGTCCAGTACCCTACCTCTAACAGTTGCCAGTACCTGATATTTCAGAAGATGCAAGAAACCGATAGTGCACAATTTTGGAAAAACCTGTCCAAAGCGGAAGTTTCCTCCTTACTCCCATCCACCCAGGATTGGCATGTGCCTTGAAACCTGAAAGTTTTTCTCTCTTAATAGATTGGAATAATGTGACCCTTCTTTCTCTTGTCCAGTGTATAAATGTCCAGTGCTTTGTTGAATCCTTCTAAGCTTATGGCCTCAATGGCCTCTATAAGTGATAAGTTCCACTTATTTTTTTTATATAACACGTAATTAGCATTTCCTCTTATCAGTTTAGAACCTTTCAATTTCATTGAATTTTCCTTATTTTTGTATTACAATAGAGTAAACAGAAGCATATGATTTACCTCCTCTAAATCATGTATTATTTTGCATACCTCTTTTTATTCATCACTCCTCTAAATTAAATTGTCTCTCATCATACTAAAGTCCCTCCATGCCTCTCTAATCATTTTCAGTGCCCATTTTAGAACCCCTTCTAGTCAGCTATTTGATCAGATTAAACTTGTACTAAGAATTGATGTAAACTAAATACATTTTATTTCTAATCATAGTTGAATTCCATTTGCTCAAGTTAGGGCTTTGCACAAATATCTGAACAACTATTCTTCATTGTTATAGTCCTTCTTTTACATCCTCATTGCCTGGTCCAGTTGCTCTTTCCATCATTACTCTGCTACTTGCTTCTTCCTTCTACTCCCAGCCTGCTCTCTCTACCTCCCCTTTTTTTTAAGGCACAAAGCAGAATCTAACTGTTCTGTGACACTTTCTTTTAAGGATCATTGAAGTTCTAATATATCTAAGTGTATTCAGGGGTTGCTATTATACCTGTTGCATTAGTATTCATTGTACTTTTGAATCTTTATATGCATATTATAATTTAGCAGCTACTCACTAGGTTGATCAGATACATTGTTTTAGAATTATGAGACTGGGAAAACTGGTGAGTTTTTCTCCTTTTGAACAATGTTCTTTGTCCTCTCACGACTCAAACGCTGTTGTTGCAAATACTTCAGGATTGTTCTGTGCATTAATGTTCCATGAGAAATAGCACGTAGGACTAAATTTACCAAGTTAGAGTCTAAATCTTCAATTACTAGGTGATCTTAGTGTTTTTCATAAATCTCTGAGGTTTGTCAAATGTTAGATTCATAGATATTTAGGTCAGAAGGGACCATTATGATCATCTAGTCTGACCTCCTGCACAACGCAGGCCACAGAATTTCACCCACCACTCCTGCAAAAAACCTCACACCTATATCTGTGCTATTGAAGTCCTCAAATCGTAGTTTAAAGACTTCAAGGAGCAGAGAATCCTCCAGCAAGTGACCCGTGCCCCATGCTACAGAGGAAGGCAAAAAACCTCCAGGGCCTCTTCTAATCTGCCCTTGAGGAAAATTCCTTCCCGACCCCAAATATGGCGATCAGCTAAACCCTGAGCATATGGGCAAGATTCATCAGCAGATACTACAGAAAATTCTTTCCTGGGTAACTCAGATCCCACCCCATGTAATATCCCATCACAGGCCATTGGGCCTATTTACCATGAATATTTAATTACCAAAACCATGTTATTCCATCATACCATCTCCTCCATAAACTTATCGAGTTTAATCTTAGGGTTAAATTCTGTTCCACCTAATCTTAGCTCTCATTAAAAACAAAAAGTTAAGTTTCTAGCCCTTTTCTTTCTGAAGCTAAATTTCAAAATAGGTGACTAGGCTTGTAAATTAATAATGGTGACTTTTCTCCAAAAATCATAGGTTTATTCATTTTGATTTTTAGGGAGGAAAAAACCACAATTCCCTCAGTTAGCTATGCTCTCTCCCCTTCTTATTCCTCCCCAACAACTGCCAGACACCAGAGCTCCTACCTCCAGGTTCTGCAGTAATAGAATCTTCACTCCCTTAACAGGAGGAAGGCAACTGGCAGCACAGTATTCTCCCCTTACAGGATTAACAGGTAGAGATATCCCTTTTCTTCCATCACTAATGGAGTGGAAAGACGAGGAAAGTCAAAAGAAAAGCATAGAAAATCCATGACACTTGTGAGCATGACGACAAATTTACTTCCTTATCTATCGCTTAAGATTAGGGTGTATCTGGATTTAGAATACAGCTGAATAGGATGAGATGATAGCAGTGCGTTACCAGAGCCATGCATAACTCCGACTTCCTTTAAGGAAGAGGAGCATAGCTATCGGCCTTTTGGCCCTTGGTACAGGCTTGCTCTCATATATAAATATACTAAAATAGTCAAGATATACTAATCAGAGATTTAACACCTAGCTAAAATAACCAGCTACATCAGCTCATTCTGTGCCCTGAGCAGATGTATGATACGTAAGAGAGTAAGAGGAGACAGAGAAGCTTCCAGTACAAACATTGTCAAACCACATAACCCAAATTTTTGGCGTATAAATTTTACGTGGCTAGACTTGCATTCATTTGAAAAATGTTGTGTGGTAAAGGCCTACAATATCTCTAGCTGTCCCCATTTCTTCTCAAAAATTTCATCTCTAGTCTCATTTTTGGCTAAATTATGTAAAACCTGTATCTTCCAGCAGAGAACCTCCAGTATAACTTTTAAACAACATTATCAAAATATTAAGAAGAATTATTCCTGAAGGAAATTTATTGTTGAAAGCTGGTTTTGTAACCAGAGAGACATTGCTTCGGAAATTGAATTTCACAAAAGGTTATTAGTTATTTGACTTGATAAAGTATAATCTGGCAATTTTAGATGAAATATCTTTCCATTCAATTGGCAAATGTGAGGAATACAGAAAGATTTGGTCAGTGTTTCTTGAGCCCTGTGGTTAGTATTCTTGCTTTCATTTATTCTAATATGGACTATATTTAATAAGTATTATCTTTGTAAAATTGTTATTGTGTTGATTTTTAAAATGTGATATTAATAAATCATTATATATATCAGGGGTGGCCAAACTTACTGACCCTCCAAGCTGCATATGACAATCTTCAGCTGAACCCCAAGACCACCCTCACAGATAGGCAGAAGCCAGAGGCAATGTGTGGGAGAGCTCATCAGGTCATGTCCCGTCCCCACCCTGACCCACCCCAGATTTTTGCAGGGTTTGCTGGCCCTGCTAAGTCACATGGTGCCACAAGGCCCCTTCCCTGCACAGCAACGGTTGGAGCCAGCAAATTAGGAGCTGCAGCTGTGGGGAGAGGCAGCAGCAAACAGCTAAGAACTGCAGGGAAAGCTGTTGCTTTTGCTGCTGCCTCTCCCTGTGGAGCTAAAGCAGCGGCCCCTCCCTGCAGCTCACAGCAGTTTACCGCTGCCACTCCACATAGCGCTAACACCTGGGGCCAAGGAAGGGGCATGCCTGGGGGGATGGAAACCTTTGAATTATGACACCCCCCTCCCCTGCACACTCTCAGCAGGCACCAGTCATCGCTGGCAGAAGCCCCTTCTCACCACCCTGCCAAGACCAGAAGCCCTGAGCTTCCCCCATCCTCCCACAGTCTGGTAGGTAGAGAATGGGGGTGGTCTGGGGGGCTTTGTGAGCCATACTTTAACGTAAAAGAGCTGCATGCAGCTTGTGAGCCATGGTTTGGCCACCCCGGTATGTATTATGGTAGTACCCACAGGCCAAAATTGGGATTTGGGCCTCATTGTGGTAAGTGCCAAATATAGAGGTAGATATGGTCTCTGCTCCAAAGAGCTTACAGTCAAAGGGAACTACTCACATCCATAAACATACTTATATGCTTAAGTGTTGCCAGGAATGGGGCCTAAGAGTGAAGTGAAATGTCAAAAATAAAGCTTTTGGTGATTGTTTTAACTCAACACACAAATACTGTGTCATCATTTACAATTATTTATATTTTGTTTAGACATTGCAAATATTTTTAAACCCTGTTTGTTTAATTCTGATAGCTATATACCACATCGGCCATCAGGAAGAGCAGTTCAAATAGCAGACAGTTCTTTCAGCCTCCAATCTCCTCAGCATAACCAGTTTGGCTATCAGAACAGTCATATTCCTAATGCAGATTATGAAGAGGACATCCCCATTCCAGCTATGTCTGGGAGGCAATTTCCTGTACGTATAAACTATCTCAAGCACACATGAAAGGTGTCCCTTATACAATCTTGCAACCTGACACTTGAGAATAAACTGTCATAATCCTGTATACATTTTATGTGGCTAGACTTGCATTCATTTGAAAAATGTTCTGTGTGCTAAAGGCTTACATCTCTAACTTCTGTGGTTTTTATCTCAGAAATCTCCTATCACTGTTCAGTCTAGGCTAGATTGTGAAAGCCCCATTTTGAGGGTTTTATCCTTGTGTGAGCCCTCTACATATGGGTAAATTTGACCTATTGTGGAGGTCAGTGGGACTACTCATATGAATAAGTGCTTAATAAAGTGAGTAACAGTTGCATAATCCAGGCTTCTGATAGAGAATCTAGAAGACCAAAAGTATATCCATCTGCTCTATGGAAACTATAATTCTATGTTGCTGATACAGTGAGGGGAATTTTTAAAATTTCTGTGAAACACAAATACCTAACAAGCTGATTCACCAATGTGTTACACTTGTTTTGTGCCAGCATAATTTATTTATTTGGTTGGAGTTACACCAGTATGAAACTAGAGTAATGTAGTGACAGTTTCTAGAGTCATGCTTAAATCTTCGGTGGGGGTGATGTACAAATCTAAAAGGAGTGCTGTAGATACAAAGCTCTTAGTATCTAACTATGGTATATTGAGCAATTTACAAATTGACTCATTATTTACTGTTTAACTAAATTTTCCCTGAAGTGTCAAATGTGTCAAACTTTCTCCATCACTTTCTGCCCTAAAATGTTGTGTTATTGCTAGCACTGTTAAACAGCAGATAATAGTAATAACAATAGTGCTGCTAATATTTAACTCTTACATAGCACCTTTCATCCAAGGATCTCCAAGTGCTTTACAGACATTAATACAAAAGCTTCATGGCATGCTTGTGAAGGTAGGTAGATAGGTACACATACTATAAAAAAGTAAACTTAGGCACAGAGAAATTAAATCTCTTTTTCCAATACACAGAAAGCCATTTGTAGAACTGAGCGTAAACCATGATTCACATTTCCTTGCTCTAGCCACTTGAATCATTTGTAAATGATTATTTAAAACAATGTAAGGACTCCAATTGCTTCAGCAATTAATGTCAATAAAAAATTCTAAATAAATAACCTAACTAGACTCCCTTCCTGCCCCGTAGTTGTCTCTTTCAGTGGTGCAGTGTAGTGATTTGCATGTACAAACAATTTGGGGTCTTTCCATATGGAAGGTCCTATGCAAGTAAAATAGGCACAGCTCTTCATAATAGTCAACCCCCACCCTCAACCCCCAAAAAAAAATCAGTAAGGGAAGGGTTTACTGTAAAGATTCTAAAAAAACTTGTTACAAAAAAATTAAGAAAAATAAAATAGTCAGAAAACCTCAAATATCTAATTGTTTTCCATTAGACACTCCACGTACTCGTCATTTATGTATATATTATGTATGGTTTCTCAGAGGTTCATTCTTAAATCTGACAGAAATCCCAACATGAATCAGGCCTTTAGAGTAGGTGCAAAGTAGAATTAATGACATTAAAGGGAGTTGGGTTGCCACCAACCAAAAGTTTCCCACCACTATTCTTAAGGACACAAGACATTTATTTTGCTGTATACATTTGTTGTCATCAATGCAAAAAATGAGAGTCTGAAAGCTATTTCAGCCAGTTTGAATTCTGGAAGAGTTTTTCTTTCACTTAGGTATAAGTTTCGTGTAATTCCCATATAAAAAGTTGCAGACATCCCATGAAGTCCATTTTTTTCAGAAGCCTATATTCCTATTCAAGTATTGTCTTCAATTAGTTGTTCAAAGGTTGATTGCAAAAGGGGAAAATGGTAAGAGAATGAAAAATAAGATGCCTTTTCCTCTCAAGTTTAAACTATGTTTTAAAACAGTTCTTGCTAGCCGAGTGATGAACTAATTTACCTCACCCTGGCTGGGGAAGGTAGGATCTATTCTGTAGCATGATTTTGTGAAACTATGTTGCATATGTGATCACGAGTACCATGTGAAATTGTGGAACTTCGAAACAGACAGCATTTTTCGTGGACTTTTGACCAGACTTACACACTGCTCAATAATCAGGGCCCGACCAAATTCACAGCTGTGAAGAATGCGACCTGGACCGTAAAATCTGGGCTTTTGTATTCTTTTACCCTATACTATACAGATTTCACAGGGGAAACCAGTGTTTCTCAAACTGGGGGCCCCAACACAAAAGCAAGTTATGGGGGGTTGCAAGTTTATTGTAGGGGGGTTGTGTTATTGCCACCCATACTTCTGCTCTGCCTTCAGAGTTGGGTGACCGGAAGGCGGCGGTTGCTGGCCAAGGGCCCAGCTCTGAAGACAGCACCACAGAAGTAAGGGTAGCACTACCATACCATGCCATCCTCACTTCTGTGCTGCTGCTGGCAGTGGCGCTGCCTTCGGAGCTGGGCTCCCAGCCAGCAGCTGCCACGCTCCGGCCACCCAGCTCTGAAGGCAGCGCCATCACCAGCAGCAGCAGTGCAGAAGTAAGGGTGGCAATACTACGACCCCCCTACAATAATCTTGCGACCTCTTCACTACCCACTTTGGAGTCAGGACCCCTACAGTTACAACACTGTGAAATTTCAGATTTAAATAGCTGAAATCATGAAATTTATTATTTTTAAAATCCTATGATCATTAAATTGACCAAAATGGACAATGAATTTGGTAGGCCCATACCAATAATCTATCTTGGCAAGATATAGTGTAACATTCCAAGCTTTTGGAGAGCTTCAAAAAGACACACAAAAGGAGAAAAAAAAACCACCACTGCCAGATAAATGTTTTCTTCTTTCCCCAAGTGTAGAATTTCCTCCCTAAAATTACACCAGCCCAAAGTCAACAACAGACAACATTCAGTCCCAGACCAGTGACAGATTTAAGGTACAATATCGCAGAGCCTTGCAAGGACAGAAATGGGAGGCGTTGGAAAAGGTGATTTCTAGCTCTCCAGTGGGACACACCGCAGTTGCTTCAACTCCTGAAATTTTCGAGGATATCAAGATATTAGTAATTTAATTAGTTCTTAAATTCTTTATATATACTAGAGCAATTAAGTAATATTTTTATTCTAAAAAAAAAATGTTTTTTTGTCCTCTCTCTCTGGTCTATCTGTAGAGCAGGACTCATGGTACTGAGGGAAACTTTTTTTTATTCTTTAAAACATTTCAAAAAATAGTTTTCTCTGTTAAGATGGTGACATAAGCATAATACACAATGATATGGTCTGCAGGTTTTATTGACCCTTTTTTTGGATAACCTACTTGTAGCCTCACCAATGATGAACAATACAGCTATCCCAAATTCATAGTGATAAAACCTTTACGTCATACCATATCTCTATTAGCTCTTACTAACATGGTTTGGATCCTGTGTGCACTGGAAGTCAAATCATTTGTAATTTATATCAAAATGATCTCCAGATACTCCAGATGGCTAGTGTTCACAAATACAGAAACTAGTACTTAAAATGTACTTAACGAAACCTAATTTGACATATAAATATGAACAGCCACTTTTAAGAGGAAATAGTAGGAAATGTCTTGTTCAATTACCTTTATTTACATTTTAACTTCAATCTCTTTACAGAAATATGGCATACCGGAGTTTTCTAGGTCTGACAGGTTTCAGAGTGTTGCTCAACCAATGAACAATCCAAACGCTGGAAGACCTTATGAACTAGGACGCTCACAAAAATATATGTAACTACAAGAAAGCTTTATAAAAAAGGAATCATCTATGGAATATTACTCATTATAAAACAAAATTCAGGTTGTTTCTGAAAATATCTTATTTTGTTTCCTATCTGATTGATATAGTCCTAACCTTCTTTCTGAAGACTTGATTATGCAGTTGGATATCTGTTTCTAAGTAGTGCCCTAACTGTTGCATATTTGTCAAGACAAAAAGATTTTTGTGTTCACTAAATTCATTTTGTGCATGTGTGGCAGGAAAGGCCACATAAGGCCACATGCTCCCCTCCTACAGAAATACTCATGAGAAGGAAAAAGGTGCTTTTAGTTTAACCTAAAAATCCATGGGAAATCCAACATTCTTTCCTTTGAGAGGAGAATCTAGAATCACATGGAGGAGACGGGTCATGGCGACCAATCAGCCCATTGTTCCACAAGAAATCCTGTCACTAGCTAGGGGAGGTTGGAGCAGACTCTCAGTGGTCTGCATCTCAGTGCTGCTTTCCATCCCTCTCTTTCCTTTGTAGAGTTTGTTCCACAGCCATGGTGTCATAAGGTGCATTTCTACTCCCTTAAGGGGGACTGACGACATTGAGCAAAACCCATAAGGTTTTGTTTTCTGAAATTACACAGGTTCCTCAGGACAACATGGCATGTAGAATGGCTGCTCCCAGACTCCCTCCACATTCCTCATTTCCCTTAAAGCAAAAAACCTAATTACAGCTTGGGATTGTAAATTAAACCTTTAATTTTGTATATACTGACTACTTACAGAATTGGAGGGCCAAATTCTGTTCTTAGTTACCATGATGCAACCCCAATGACTTCAGTTAATTTTGCATGCGTGTTTGTGAGAGCAGATTCGGCTAGAGGTTCCAGTAAATGCAAGAGTGAAGTTCCACCAAAATTTTGTGTAAAATCCCCACTTTGTTCCATGTTTATGGATCCACTATTCCTTTCCTGGTCTGTCATAATGGGCACACGTTTCTATAATCCAACCACTGCTGTGATCTTAGGGCCATATTCTTCTCTCCACCAACATGAAGCTATTCATTTCAGAACCGCAAGCAGAGTTTCCCTCTACTCAAAATCAGCGAGGTCAGACCTCCATAGTAATTTGGGCATAGGACAAGAGAATAGAGTTGGGGAACATGTTATGCTATAGACTCTACAGCTGTCTATTTGGAAGTTAATACTATTTCAGAGTTGACATTACCTCTATCTGGCTCCTCTCTATGATTGCTACTGCATAGCTGTGAAGGAGGCAAGTAATTATGGTCCAAATGCATGATGTCATGAGGAAAGCATTGTGTTGAGATACTGAGCTTCCAGGTGTCCTAAGATACAGTCAAATCTTGGGACATCCACTAATTTAGAGAGCTGAACCTCTGCTGTTGCATTGTGCTGCCCAATCTCTCTTGTACTTGGTCTCCCTGACATCAAGTCAATTTCCCTGATCCTAAATGTTCAACTCAAAACTCTTTAGTTTCCCCTTTAAAATATGGTTTGATTTTATTTGTAACTTGTATGAAAGACATGAAAATATAGTAGTGTAATTTCAACCCTTTGTTTAACCCTTTATAATAAATCATGCTCTTCATTAACTTTATGAAATCAGTAAAACCATAAGGTAAATAAATAAACTGCAGATAAAAATGTTGACATTTCTTTTCTGTAGGTATAGTGCTTTTCTCTCAACAGCATACGCTTGTCTATATTCGGGCATCTTGCATGTTCTCTCTCAGCTTTCAGTTATGGCCCAGTTCGTGTGCATTTCCCTACAACTGCATAAGCAACAAATCCAGAGGCATATTAAGAGCCCCTCACTTCATTTCCTGCTCGCTTGAAAGAGTTTAGCTGGACAGGCATAGCTTCCTGTGGGGGGGAAAGAAGAGTGACCATGAGGTTGGCAGCTTTTCCTGTCCCTGTGACGCCTCTCCCCTTTTAGCTGGCAATCTCCCCTGCTGCTATTGTTTTCTCCCTTCCCCCAACGCTCTTCTGTGCTCCATGCGCCATCAGCTGGGGCAGTGTCAGTTTTGCTGTTCCTGCTTCTGCTGGTAGAGCAGACAGGTGATAAAGGATATTTAAACAGCATCTTTTACGCATCACCTACCTCTGGGCAGCAGACTGGCTAGTGCAGTTGAATCAAGTCATCTCATGGCATCTTAGTAAAGCCAATACTTCTCCCAGGTGGCTGCAATCTCATGCTAGAGAATCTAAGATTCCATTAAAAAGAAACCAGTCTCTAGCCATTGTGGTTGTGAAGGAAACCTTCCAAATGTGAAATGAATGTAAACCAATGCTGCAATGTCTGTTTGAGATTACAGATAGCCTGAAATAATAGCTTTGCATGTCAGCATTAACAATTTCAATCACTGCTGTTCAAAGTACACAAGAACAAGAGAGGATCATATTGCTTAGATATGCATAGACTTTTGAGAGAGGTATTTTGTATTGGCATCCCTTAAGGGCAAAGCTTGGTTATGGAGAGAGCTTGAGAGAGTGTCGCTGCTTTTAGTTTTGTTTCCGCTCTTTGCTGGTCACCATGTATAACTAAAACATACTGATGTTAGTCACTTGCACTCCCAATTCCTCTTATAAATAAGAGAAAATAGACATCTTTCAGAGCTATCAACATTATTCTTGGATGTGTACAAACAAGGCAAGGAGATTTGGTTTTGGTATATTTGTTGTCTGGAAAAAATAATTTAAAAAATAAGGCGATTTGTCAGTCCTCACCACATAGATCTAGGTCAAGCAATAGAAACACAAATTGTCATGACCCTAAAAAGTCAGGTCCTAATGTGTGGATGAGTTTCACATCTGTTTTACCCCTTTTTTCCCTTTTTTCATTTCTCTAAACCAGTGGCTTTCAACCTGTGGTCTGTGGACCCCTGTGGGTCCGCAGACCAAAATTTCCAAAGGGGTCCACACTTCCATTCTAAATTTTTTAGGGGTCTGAAAATGAAAAAAGGTTGAAAACCACAGCTCTAAACAGTAAGTGATCTGCCCATTAGCCTGCAAGCAGCCAATTGCTATTCCTTAAAATCAAAACTCAGAATGCCTCCAACTAATGAGCTGTTATTGGCATTCAGATCCATCTACCTGTTGGTAACAGTTGGGACAGTCAGGCTTTTTCAGCCCCACCACTTAGTTGAGAGAGAGACTGACTGCGTGGGAGGAGGAGACACTGGTAATCCTGCCAAAGGAAGGGTAACAAGGAACAAATCCTGAGGGGTTAATGCACATGATGATCCACAAGGTCGGGAAAGAAAAAGGGCTAGGAGTAACAATGATGCAAGGTATCTGGGACACAGTAGTGAGACTGTTAGCAGGGTGAATGTAGTTTTCCTCATCAGACTTCATCTCTTGTCCAACATCCTTAGGCAGATCAACAATTGCAGGACATCAGTCCTGTGTGTAAGTACTCTTCCAGTGAAATTTAAATACTCAAGGATCATCATGGGTGAGAGAGACATTAGTTTGAAGAAACTTCATGAAATACTGCGACTGTCCCTTTTAGTACTGAATAATAATAGTTGTGGAAAGATTTCATCCACTGAGAATCTCACTCTTGGTCTTTGCTTCTCACTTTGAAACCAAGTGAAATGCCATAATTCATTAGGTGTTTTGTACCCCAAGTAGCAGGGTGAGGTGCGATCTAGGACCTCTAATGGCTTTTATATGCCACATCCCTGCCAACCATAAATCCTGCACACCACACATTACTGTCAGTTACTTCTTGACTAGGTTGGTCAAAAAGCTTCCTGAAGGTAAGTAGTTCTTATTGTTCCTGTTCATCCACAGATTTCAATGAAACAAGCAAGCTATCCTTTTATCTCAGTACCCAGCCATCCAACCAGAACTGCTTGGTTGTTGAGGTGTTTACCTCGGGCACTTTGTCACATTTCCCATGGCACTCTGACTTGTTTTTTCTTGGGGTGCTTCAGAAACTATTTTTGGTATTTTGATGCCTTTCAGTGCTTTTTCCTGTGCCTCTTGCCAATTTTTGCATGGCATTTTCCTGTTTGCTGTCTGACTCCGCAAACTTGAATGTTGTCTTATGTTGTATGTTGTGTCACACTGTTGGCAGTAGCCTTGTTGCTGCTGCTCATTGCAGCTTTATGCTCATTTTGCTTTTGAGGCATCCCTTGAGCTACTTATTCTCCAGAAGTGAGAATACGGCACAGATGGAATTATTTTAGAAAGAGATAATTAATCATTTTGTAATTGTGCTCCTCTGAAAATATCCTCTTGCAGGACTCTTATTCACCTGCCCAAATATCCTCAGAATTTGGAGATTTACCTATTTTTGAGGTGTTTTCTTTTAAACCTCATTTGCTGATCACTTTGAATTGACTTTCCTTCTGGGATCTTTGCCTTCAGCCTAGGTGACTGGAACATTTGTAAGGCAGGGTATGTGATGGTCAGTAGCTCTACCCCACCTCAAGAGTCAAAACAACTTCAGAACTAGAAGAGTTCTCCTAGATTTGCACTAAGAAGCTAAGATCCAGAAGTGAGAATCTTGCCTGATTCTCATCTTCAAAAAAGGAAAAATACATAGTAAGTAATGTTCCCATTTATTCTGTAACTATTTTTATTTAATTGTAAATTAAATTAAAGGGTAGTTTTGTAGTAAAATATTAGATATTAAAAACTTACATTTGTTTCAAAATATAAGTTTTTATAAAGACAAGCTTTCACAAACCTTAAAACCATTACAAATGTTTCCGTGATTAAAAACAAAAGCCACCTCTCCCCTCCCCCCATTAAAACAGTTCATTAATAATTCCTTCTGGGTTGAAAAATAAACATTGTACCACAGGGCTGGTTTATACATAGTGTGTGTACTGATTTTAACTAAATGGGCTTAAGCAACTGATTTCGTTAAGCAGGTGTAGCCCTTTTGCCTTAAATAAAATTAAACTCAATCATCATAAGGCATTTTTAAACTATCACCGTTTCTGAGATAAAGGTACCTCTGACTCTTTTGTTGCCTCTAGCCATCACCTTGTTCAGGACAGAGTCCCTCGATTCTCTCCTTCTAGGCTGGGGATTTAGGCTGCAATTTTCCTCCCACACTTCACTGTCATCACAGTGTCTGTGTCTACTAGACACAGGTGCTGAACTAAGTCATTACATTTAACTTAGTTCAGCATCTGCAGTCCTGTTCTGTCAGTGACAATGACAGGGCTAACCAGTGACCAGACAGCCTTTATTAAACAAGTATTATTTATTCAGAACAAAAGCATTACAGAGGAAACACTTCTTTAAAATAATATACAACTTACATGCAGGCCTTAGCTTACCAGGCAGTCACCTATCTTCCACATGGAGATCCTGATAGGGACAAAGGCCCTTTCCACAGGATCTCTCTCTCTCTTGGTCAGTTTCATGTCAGTTCTTGAGTGAGTGTGAGCTCCCTTTCTATGTCAGGCTGGTCACTTTTATACAATTTTCAGTTCTTTGGGTATCAGATTTCTTGAAACAGGTTAAATAAATACATGCAATTTCCTCCAGGAGCTAAGACTCCTTCAGACTTGCTGCCTGCTTAGGGATTCACATCCCCCATCTCAGTGATTTTAGTTCCTTCTGGAACCACCTGTAAATCCCTCATGGATCTAGAATACAATCCCTAGCCCATAATGATACTTACAACATTTATAAAATGGATACAATAGCCTTTGATTATTCCATATTGCAATAAAATCTGTCATATAAACCAATTTAAAAGTGTCCGCAGAAAAGGGGTTGTTCCAATTAACTGAATTGGTTTCTAAACCAATTTAGTTAAATCAGTGCACAAAACTGTTTATAGACTAATCCTAAAGATTTATCTACACTGAACAGTTTTATCAGTATAGTTATACAGTTATGAGTGGCTCTTTTTTATTTTGCTTAAACCACTTCTCGAATGACAAAACTGAAACGAGAAACTCCTGTATTGAAATAAGAATGTGTACATGAATTATGGCTACGTCTACCCTATGAGCTAAGGATATGATTCCTAGCATACATACACATACTTGCACTAGTTTGATGAGAGCGAGTGTGAGTATAAATAGCAGTGTATGTTCCGATAGGGTTCAGGTGGGCGTGTAATACGGGCATCTTCCCTGTGCCACTACTGCCTGGGCTGCAGAGGCTACACTGCTATTTATACCCATGCTAGCTTTCATTGAGCTAGTGCAAATATGTGTACATGAGCTGGATGCAAAGCAGAACTTTCACTGCTGTTAATGGGAGAATATGGCACTTTCTATAATTAAAATATTATTTGTTCAGTGCCTTATTGTCTTATTCAGTATCACTCGGTGGGAAAACAGGTTCTACTTTAGGCTTATCACTAATTTGGCCCTTTGTTTCTCTTTCCATAGATGATTAAGTGGGCTTTAGCCCATGAAAGCTTATGCTCAAATAAATGTCAGTCTCTAAGGTGCCTCAAGTACTCCTCATTTTTTCTTGTTAAATTTACCTTTGTTCTTTTATCTGTTTCCTTCTTTGCAGCAATTACACGTGTGCTTCACTTTTGTTACATTTTTTGTTCCATTTGTTAAAATGATCAGCAAAAGGCTACTTAGCGTTGACGAGGAAGTGCCATTACTAGGGGCTAGAGATGACACTATGGTAAAATGAATAAGGAT